CTCTCTCTCTCTCTCTCTCTCTCTCTCTGTCTCTCTCTCTCTCTCTCTCTCTCTCTGTCTCTGTCTTTCAGTAACATATAAATTCATTGGTGTAATAGAAGCAAATTTCTTTTTCATTACTCTGGAGTAGCGCTAACACTTGCCAATTTAGCCAAATGCTAAAACTGACTTAAATTGGCTGAACAAAAAGGGCCTGATTTGACTAATTTTAATCAAATAAGATCCATTTGGATAACAAATTGACAAAAAAGTGGTGATTTGGCTAAGGGGAAAAAAATTGCTAGTGCTACCCCAGTTACTAAATAAAAATCATTTAGCAAAACAAGTGAAATGAGTAAATTCTTTGCATCAAAAATCCTATCTCTTTCATAAGAGCTTGACCATTAGGCCAATCATGCCAACACACCTTTAACTCAGAATATCCCCGTACATCTTGGCAATTCTTATCATCATACCAGATGAGCATGCCATCCTGATGAAGAACAAGGAAGTTTTGTTTCCAGGAATCCCATATCACACCCTCTGAAAGGTCAAGAAGAACAAAATTAGTTGTATCTTTTTGGATTATCAAAATATGGTGATTAACATTGAATATAAACTATTTTAACATAATAGCCACTTTTAACATAGTCATTAAAAAGATGATGATAAATACCACAGTGTTAAAGACAATATCAAATTTAATTCATGTTAAATAAATATAAATATATTTAATTAGCTGTGTGCTTATTGTTCAACTCACTGCAGTATCTCTTCATATGTCCCACTTTAAGTTTTGGGCTCATATCTGGAACAAAAACAAAGCAATTTATTGCATGCATACAAAAACAAACAAAATAATAATAATAATAATAATAAACTAGACCCAGCTCACATACAGTTGTTCTTAACAACATGGCCAAAATTTGTAGTCTCCACAGATCCCTTAAAATCACTGGTGATCCACTGCTTATGTAAAAGTCAAAAATGACGATTAAGTCACAAAGACAGAGAGGTCGGGGGGGGGGGGGGGCATGTTTTTTGACACTCATAAAAAGGCATATAAATACACCATCAAAATCAACATTTTCGATTTTCATTAATCACTATAATAAAGATCTAGCTGTTAACATTAATGAGTATATTCTATACTGTCTACATTTTCAGTGCAAATAAAAAACATAGCAAGGGCACTGGAATGCTGGAATGATTGATGGATGTTGATGATGTTGGCTGGAAACTGGCACCCGGTTTCGCAATATATGATAAATAAACATTTCAGTATTGAACTTACTGGATACATAAACAGATTCTTCTCCCCCACACAGAGGCATGTTGAATAGGCGGTCTTTTGGGGTATTTTAACTCCGTAAAGTACTGTAAATCGGAGCACGAAATCACACAGAAATCTTGTTGACTTGTTGTTAGGTCAAGCAAACTGATTTTAGCGTATATATGGAAATAGTTTCGTAATTAGATTTGCAAAAGATTTGCTGTGCTCTAGTTTTTTTAGTACAGACTAATCAAATAAAATCATTTCATGAAATCTCTGTTATTTCAATTTCTAGTTCACGTTGATGATTATTGATTATGCATAAAATCTTGTTGTCGCTGCATGGTAATTTTTTTCTCTATGTCTAAAAGGATTGGAGCGAAAGCGAGGCTCTATTTGGAGGGTGGTTGGGGCACCTGTGTTCGAAACTAATTTATTTAGACAAAAAATTAAACATGGCGCTGTCCATGAGGTAAGCTCATATCTGGACCGGCCTTATAAAACTATTCTTTAACTCGTTTCTTTAAGCTAATGACACGATATTACAACAATCAGATATTTTTGATGATATGTACTCGTGGCTTAATTTGATATTTTTATTATGAAGAGGTCGATTTAATGGTCGTACACAGAGCTCTTGTGCAGGGTCTCGGTTTGCTGCACGGAGCGCGACACGTCATAAATCAACAATGAATTAATTTTTGTCGATAAGCGCTAGGTGTGGAATCAAGGTGATGTTTAATGCACCTTGTTTATTTTAAGACCGTTATTAAAATAATTTGTGGAAACTGATTCACTAAAGACAATATAATTAACATAGGAAGGTTACGTAAAAACGATCTAGACAGTGATGTGATGGCGGATTTGTGGATTTACAACATCTATTGTTATTTTAATTTGTAAGATCTTTTATCTTAGTTGATGTCCGTAGCTATTATTCCTTTTAAATGCCCTTGGTGAGACACTTGAAAAAACCCAAAATGCGTTTTTTAAGGGCAACTTGTATGGTAAAATGTACACTGTATACTGGAGTATGTGTATCTCTAAATTTGTATATACAGTTCTTGTAGTCTTTAAGTTTGTAGGGTCATGTTCAGTGATATTTTGGTTGCTAAAATAATAAAATTTGCATATTAAAGAATCAGCTTTTATTCCAATTATATCAGGGTCTTACTTTGTTGTGTGTTAATCTCCTAATATGGCTTAGTTGTAATGTACCACAGTGTATAACACTTTTCATAATCTGTAATTAATTATTAAGAGACATTGATTATTTGGTTGATTATTCATTGAAATTAATTTTGAATTCATGTTGTTATTCAAAAGTATGATTGCTGTGATTGGTGGCAATCAACCATTCATTTAGCAAAATCCCATTTAATAGAAATGCTTTCAAGTTGCTCAACATCATGAAAATTATTCATAATATTTTGAAATGTTATGTATGTTTATTTGATTTTTTTTATCAATCATTATTTTTATGACATTTCAGATCCACAGTCTATATACTAAATAAAGTTTTGGTGGTGGGAGTGCTGCTGTCTTATGTAGCATCTGTGGATAAAAGTAATTTTAAAACATGTGACCAGAGTGGGTTTTGCAAGTAAGTGAAAACTAAACACCTTCATTTCTTCTGACTTCATCTATATATGGTTTAAAAATATGGTTATAAAAATATAGGTGAAATGTTTTAACTTATGAGACACATTACATGCCAAATTTGATATTTTTATTGCTCTTGTTATATCTTTACACTATTATCACCTATTTTATGTGCCTTATCCAGCTTGTATAGAACATACCCAATGGGCTGCATCACATGTCCTATTTTCTACATTTTCTGCATTTTTTTAGGCGTCAAAGAGCATACAAACCAGACCAGTCACCATATGTAGCTTTACTAGACTCGGTTCAAATAGAACCAACAAAAATGAAGGTGCAATTATTGAACACGCAGAATCAAGTGAGACTCTTACTGGAAGTTATTGGTCTAGAGAGGAATATGGCTAGAGTTAAAATTAATGAACTAAACCCCATCAAACCTCGTTATGAAATACCTGTGGGAGATGTACTGATTGGAGATCCAAAACAAGACAAGTAAGTGTGACTTGTTTATGTTGGAAAAGAATTAAGATTGAATGTTTTGCATGGTCATGTTAGATAGTTGAAATACATACAAAACTGATATGATCTTTTAATAGTAACATTAACAGAAGGCTCTCATTAAAATAGTTTCTAATACAGACATCATAACCTAACATCATATCAGATATATACTCAATAATCCTGATGAAATTTTAACCATCTAAAAACCCTGCATATGCTATCACAATGAAATGGTGCAATTTATTTTTTTTTTATTTTGCATCAACATTTTTTTCAGAATTGAAATAAGCCACAAGGATGGAGGTTCTATAAGCCTAGCATTTCAAAGCAATAAAATTGTCCTCCAGTCCAAGCCATTCAGGATAGACTTTGTGGCTAGTGAGCACCCTGTTGTCTCCTTAAATGCTAATGGACTGTTGAAATTTGAGCATCTTCGTCTGAAGACTGTCACCCAGGAAGAAAAGAAAGAGTAAGTTAGACATACAGCTGAGATGATATATATATATTTTTATTTATTTCTTTATTTACACTGCTATGAGCCTATGACTATGACAACACTGATTACTCATCATGAGGATATGACTTAGTTATTAAACATCGTCATAATCATAGCATTTCAAGTCTAATGATAAATTTAAAACAAATGTGTTTATATAAAATGTGTAAGTGGTTGTTCTGTAGTGAATTATCTTCGGAAGCATGCCCCGAAAGTATACTTGGCTTGAAGCATGGTTTAATAGTGAGTGATTTATTACCACTTATGAGGTCACTCTTGCATAATGAATATTATCAAACACTCAAGATATTCTGATTGGAATATTAGGGTGTTAACATTATATTGGGCCAAATTCATTATTGATGTGGTTCAAAATTTTGATTAGGCTAAAGTTAACCAGCTATTTGAGAGAAAAAACTTTCAACCTAAAGTGTTCATAACTTTCATCGTCTTTCATCATGATAAATGTCATTTATGAATTATGTTTGTGTGAACCATTTTTCATCATCAACTTATGTATGGGAAGTACTATCATGATTTCTCCCATACACAATAGTTAGTTTTAAATTTTGTGAAGTTTATGGTATATTTTTTTCTGTGCATCTGTAACAAGCTACTTGGTACACCAAACATTTCTCTTTGTTGGGTACTAACATTTCCGTGACAGTAATAAGGATTGTCTTAAGTCCTACTACGCAATTCTCTCCTTGCTGTTTACATATTAATTTCCCATAAAAACCAAAAACCTGCCCATTAAGATTTCATAAATTAAAAACTAAAGAAGATTAATAAAAGCTTAAAAGGACTAATCAACCGTAGTATTCTTCTGAAAAAAATTAAGAGAGAAAGAGAGACATTTGAATGATACAGAAACTAGGGAAAGAACACGACTCGAGCTGTTGTCAACCTAGATTAAACTGTCATCCATTTATACTGAACAAAAATATAAACGCACGAAACTAAAATGGTCAGTTGAAATGGATAATCATGAAATATGCCCAGGTTGATGGTTTATTTGTGAACAGATGGATTTGTTTTGATCAATTATAGTGGTCTGGTTTCACTTGGCCGCTCCCCATGAGTATACTCAAAGCTTCAGTTTTTACACCCATAAGACTAATGGAGCATGACGGAGTAGAGGTCAATCTGCAAGACCAATACACAGACACTCTCTACCGTCTAGGCAATAAAAGGACACACCAAAATGTGAATTTCTGCCACTTGTCAACATGCCACAGATGTCTGGAACCATGAGGGAGCATGCCATCAGCATGCTCAATGCTGGCTTGTCAGTAACAGAAGTTGCAGCATGCCTGAATGTGCATCATTCCACTGTCAGCCATCTGGGAACACGCTTCAGAGACACTGGTAGCATTAGGAACCACCCTCATGCACCATGTCGCCCAACAAACACCTGTAGAATGTTCTGGATCAGAGTTTTCAGCCATCATGTTCCAGCTCTCGAGAACGTTCACCAACTGCGAGTAGCACTCCAGGAGGAATGGGATAATATCCCTTAGGCCTCTATTGACAACTTAGTGATGTCCATGCGCTGCTGGTGTACTGCTCTGCACAAATTTAATGGTGTTTGTGAACTCAGGATGTTGACCCCCATGGTGTATTTGATGCCCTAATTCTTGGACTATGCATTAAAACTTCCCCTAATGCTATCAAAGTGATGTCTATTTGTCGAAAAAAATATGCTGTTATTTTTGGCTATATACTCTAGTTCCTTATATGAAAATAAATCTACATATTCTTTCGTGCGTTTATATTTTTGTTCAGTATATATGTAAAATGAAAAGGAGGCTATATCGTTAGATTTTAAAGTTAAATGTTGCACAATATTTGAATGGAGAGGAAAATAGGTTATCCCTTTTCGTGATGAATGCATCTAAATTCTTGTCATTTATTTCATTGGTAAAAAATGGAGAATGCATTTTTAGATCAAAATAATATTAGTCAACTGTTGCTATTGTTGTGTTCCAGGATGAACATGTTTTAGAAAAACCAGAAAAGATATGTGATGTGCTATATCTTATTGTGAATGATATTAATAATTGTATTGTTTGTGTGTGAAGGCTTTTAATGTGTGGATACGCAGGATATAGTGAGTCGGCTTCATCTGCTTTATTTAATTTTTTACTCCCTAATGAAAAAGTCCTATAGGATCCTATAAGATCCTATAGGAAATTGGGCCAATTTCCTATAGAATCCTATAGGATCTTATAGGATCCTATAGGACTTTTTCGTATGGGCTATAATATTTTTGTTTACTTCCTCATTATTTGCTATCTATTGTGAATACCTTACAAGCTTAAAATTTTGAACCTGTGAAAAACCTATATAAATCTATCATCACTTGACTTAGTTTTCAGAAAGTGATCATCTGTCTCATTCTTCTGTCACTTTTGAATTTTTATCTATCTTACACTTAAGTTGTTAGATGACAATTATCTTCTTTGATTATTGAATCTAGTTGGTTGAAATCTTTTGGTGACATCTTTTCATGCATGTCTTGTGTATATGATTTATTTCCCTGCACTTTCCTATAATACCAGTTCATTATGCCTGCTAGTTTGATTTGAGCACTGCACTTCCATGTCTGTATATGTATTGCTGTCTCTAGTAATACAGCCAGTGTTTTCAGTCTTAGCGGACTGTAGAGCAGTTGGCATCTTTTCCCTATTGTAGGCAGGCAGGCGGCTTCTTAGGCGGCCTATATTCATGGTTTTCCAAACCTTTCAGAGGAGACGAGAAGCAGGAGGGAGAAAATCAAGAAGGACAGGGTGCTGAAGAAAGACCAGAGGGACAGGTATACAGCAGATATTTTGTCCTAGTGCAGGTTGATAGATTTTAGGAAAATGATCAGTTTCACTGAAGCTTAGATATGAATGTCTGGGTATTTAATATGAAAACATATGAAAGCACATTGATTGCCAAAGGTTAGTTTGCGATTAATCAACAGATGGCAGCATTTGTTTTAGCCAAGAAAACCCTGCTCTGATATTCAAGAGAACAAACACAGAATAGGCCCTATCATCGGCTTAGGTTTTTTTAAAGGAACAGTAATTGAAAGATATGATTGAGTCGTGTAATAAAGGATGAGAATTGATTTTGGGGTGAGACATACATGATGCTTATAGATAACATGTTTTAAATATAAATCTTATAAAGAAATAAGTTGAGAACTGAACAGATGAAGTAAAAACGATAGGATGACATATTTTGATAATTCTACCCCTATAGGAGCAGGCTGCAGAAGAAGAGAAGGAACCAGAGGCAAAGGAACCAGAAGAACCAGACATGTGGGAGGAGTCCTTCAAGGGCCACTCAGATTCCAAACCAAATGGTACAGAACAATTTTGATTTATTTTTCACACTGATATTGAAACTTAGCATTTTATTGTCTAAACAAGAAAATAAAGAGACATATAACGAATAGGTGAAGTTGTTAGGCAGGGACAAATGTAATTAACCAAATCCACTGTTATACTCATTGATAGATAATGAAAGTTGAAAATATTGCATAATGTGTTCATGAAGAGAGATTGTTATAAATAACACACAGTGTTTTTTACAAATTGTCCAGCAACTGAAATAATGATTGAAATTAGGAAAGGCCTCTTTTCATTGAACATAATTTTATTTACAGGACCAACATCGGTGGGTATAGACATTTCCTTCCCAGGCTTCGAGCAAGTGTATGGTATTCCTGAACATGCAGACTCACTGGCTCTTCGGTCCACAAAGTGAGTGCTTCTCTGTAGGAGAATTACAAAATATTTTATATTTGTCTCTATAGTCACTACAGAGAAGCTAGGCTAAAAAAAAGTATATATATATAAAGCTTTCAGTTTATTAAATGGATGCGTAATTTTCACAGATTGCAGATGATTGTGAAATGATAATTGATAATCCATGTTCTGCACCCTGTTATGTTTGACATGAAAGCTTGTGTTATGACAGTATTTTAACTTCATTCATAAACCTAACAAAAGAAAGTTTTTGACAAACTGAATTTATATCTTTTTAAGCATTTTAATTGTGGAAAATCATTATCTTTGCAGAGACATGGACCCCTATCGCCTGTACAACTTGGACGTGTTTGAGTACGAGTTGGACTCTCCTGCTGCCCTCTACGGGGCTGTACCTGTCATGCTGGCACATAAGTAATTTTTAATAATACACTTTCTCACATTGTCTTAACTTTATTGCTTAGAAAGCAAAAATATGAGTGAATTAAAGACGTTGTTTGAATGTAACAAAGGACAGTTTTCATATGAAAGACCCTCGGATACTTTTGATTCTTTTTTGGATACCAGAAAATAGTTGATTATAACTTTGTTCCAAATTTGTGCTTTGTCTCAACTATACATAATGTCTGATAATGTTGCTAACTCTTAAATCTTAGTTACCTGTATTCAATATGATTTTGTTATTTTTTAAAGCGAAAAACAGACTGTTGGAGTATTTTGGCAAAATCCCTCCGAGGCCTGGATAGATATAAGTCACAACCTGGCAGACAAGGTAAACAGTGGTTTCCAAGACAAACTAACAAATTCTCAATATAATTTTTGTTTAAAAAGGAAATATGTTAGTTTTGTATGTGTTTGTATGCAGAAAACTATTTAAAAGGTTACTCTAAGTCTTACAGAAAGTAACTATTCTGATAAAGGTAGCTATGAAAAAATTGACTTTGAATTTGTATTTGGTTGTTTGAATATGTTCACAGCAGTTGAAGTGATATTTCAGATTTATTATTCATAAATATTTCAGTCTCAATTAAAGATATTAATGATATTAACTTGGACCTTTTTTTAGTAATGAACAGAAGTCTTGGATTTGTAACTTAAAAAATATTGGTTTTTCCTGATCTGAGGCCAGATCTAGTTGTTAATTGTATGAAACTAGTTTTGAAAGTGGCATACTGGCTTTGTTAGCCATCCTAGCTAATGCACTGTGTCACTGTGTTTTCAGTCTGTCCTGTCCAAGGTGGTTGATTTTGTCAAGGGAGGAGACCAGATTCCACAAGTTGATACACACTGGTTTTTTGAGAGTGGAATTGTGGACATTTTCATCATGTTGGGCCCTGGTCCTGCAGACGTTTTCAAACAGTATGCAGCATTGACAGGGACAACCCCTTTGCCCCCTGTAAGTATAGATAATTAGTATAGATAATAAACATAACTATATTATTATTATTATTATTATTATTATTATTATTATTATGTCAGTAAAGTAGGAATATCCAAGAATTTGAAAAAATTCTTGTTTTATTTTGTAGATACTTTGGAATGATCTGTTGGCATTATAATATGATTTAAAGTAAATTGTTAGAAATCATATTTAGTTAAGGTAAATAAATTGATAAAATTTTTATTTAATAATTTTTTATTTTACAGATGTTTGCTCTTGCTTATCATCAGTCCCGGTGGAACTATAACGATGAGGAAGATGTTAGCAAGTAAATATGACATTGATTAAACTTTCAACTAGCTTTTCAGTAAACAAAAAAGCCTATTAGTACACAAAAAGACTTATGAAAAAAAAAGGAGAAAAAAACATAAATAAAAAAAAACAGTCATCTTTTAAATGATTCATGAGCACAGTAACTGCATATGAAAATAATTTTAGTCCTTTTGTGTTAGAAGTATGTTATTTATTGAATAGAAGTTAATCAGGTTGAAAAGAAGGGAAAAAAACACTATCCAAGAAAGTCCGTCATCCTATTGTTATATATGTAATGCCTATTTACATATTTATGTAGATTAAAGAGTCTGTAAATAAATTAATGGTTATAATTTCATTTTTTAAATTTTGGTTTCAGTGTTGATGCAAACTTTGACAAGCATGATATACCATATGATGTTATTTGGCTGGATATTGAGCACACTGATGGTAAAAGGTAAGTCCACAATATAGAAAAATCAACCATGACTTTTAATATTTTTTAAGTTTATTATATCATAAGACACCCTCTTTTAGTTGAGATAATGTTTATACATTTTTTACAAATTCTATTTTTGTCTCTATCTTTTGTTAGACATAGAACAAGTAAAAATTTCCTAACCTTTAAGTGCCAGTTAGAGAATGTGAGATTTATTGAACATATGATCAGATTAATGATGATTAAATAGGGATATAATTTTGTAACTATATAAATTGATATATATAATATTTCAGATATTTCACCTGGGACAAGTCAAAGTTCCCTAATCCAGAGGAGATGGTCAGAAACATTTCAGCTAAGGGTAGGAAAATGGTCACCATTGTGGACCCTCATATAAAGAAAGATGACCACTACAAGATTTACAAAGAGTGTAGAGATCTGGGCCACTTCATCAAGAATAAAGATGGCAATGATTACGATGGCTGGTGTTGGCCTGGTGGGTAGAGCAGACTCCCATCAAATCATAACTGTTACAGACTTTGTTTAAAATTGTCTTGAATTCTATGAAAAAAGGAACCTAAGTTCTTAGCAGTTATAACTTTTTTCATAGAATTCAAGACAATTTTCAACATAGTCAGTAACAGTTATGATTTAATATGTCCTCAAAGGTCTGTAACTATTATAACTTATTGTGTGCTCTAGGTAAAGATGGAACATACATTTTGTTATTTAAAACATCTCTTCTCAGGGGGAAAATTAAGAATATCCACTAGATTTTCAACTTAGGACAGAGGGTAATTTGAGAGCCTTAAATGAAAATTTAGCTTATTTTGTTTTCAAATTATATTTATGTATTTATATACAGGCTCCTCCAGTTGGCCAGATTTCACAAAGCCAGCAATCAGACAGTACTGGGCTAGTAAGTTTGCCGTGGAAGAGTATGAAGGCTCCACGCTGGACTTGCACACCTGGAATGACATGAATGAGCCCTCTGTCTTCAATGGGCCAGAGATTACCATGCATAAAGATGCCAAGCACGATGGTGGATGGGAACACAGGGATGTTCACAATATTTATGGAATGTTTGTGGTAAGGAGTCCGTCCAGACCTGAGGCCTGTTTCACAAACAAAAATATCAAATTGAAAATTTATCTAAAATATTTTTTTAAAAAATTTATCGCTCAAATTAGGAAAAATTCTTATTCATACACAACTGAGAGTCTATAATGGTGGTTTCCTTGTTGACAGACATGAAGAGGACAAGAAAAATATTATATATAAAAAAGAATAATCAGGATATGTGTAAATTAATCACCAACACAGCTTAAAAAAAACATCCATATTTTTTTGTTTCTATTCCCAGCATCAAGCCACAGTGGAGGGGATGGTAGCCAGGACTGGAGGACTGTTACGGCCATTTGTACTGTCCAGGGCCTTCTTTGCTGGGTCCCAGAGATGGGGTGAAGATTTTTTCTAAAATTCAGGGTTCCATTGGCAGTTGAGATACCGTTACAAAATATTGGAAAGTTAGATTTAAAAAAATAAAGTTTGAGAGATTCAAAATTTTTTTTATCCTCCTGATATAGCATGGTGTTAGGGTATTTGAAAAATTATAGTTTTAAGTTTGGGATATTTTTTCCATCAGCTTGATCTTAACTGGGCATTTTCAGGGGCCGTGTGGACGGGTGATAACACTGGAGAATGGGGTCATCTCAAGGTTTCCATGCCCATGATTCTGTCCCTCAGTATCACAGGGATCACCTTCAGTGGAGCAGATGTGGGAGGGTTCTTCAAGAATCCAGATTCTGAACTCCTCACCAGGTGGTACCAGGTCAGTATTTTAAATATTTATTTCTTTAGATTATTTTGAGAGTATTTTGGAAGAAGATTTAAGGTTTTAAATAATATAAAACTTGTAAAGAACAATTATGAAATCATTTTTATTTAGAAATGTTACACAATGCTGGTATGGCTGTTAGGTTTTGGGAGGTGAGAGTTGCAGAGTACCACAGAGTGACTCCCAATTCCAGTCTTTTATTCCATAAATGATTTGCCTGGGTATGCCATAAAGACTTAATTTTGTAGGAAAAAAATAGGTTTCATTTTAAAAAATGAGATAAGACAAAAAAGGCCTGCCATTGGTTATGTACTTACTGACTGACGAAAATTTCACAATATGTCTGAAATTGTTCTTGAATTAGATACTAAATACCAAAAATTAAACATTCAGTTTCAATTCACTGTAATTGGACATTGCTCATATAAATGATCTTGCACCTGAATGCGATACCTAGAAAACAGGACAATATTGGAAATCATATATGTCTTCTAGAGAATGACCATTGTTATTTAGTTTTAAAGGTATCTTATGACCATGAAAACATTTTTACAGTAATTTCTGAAATTCTAGAGATGAATGTCCTGTATGATTGAAGTTCTATAGAATCATGATTCCACTTTAATATTCAGGCTGCAGCATATCAGCCATTCTTCCGTGCTCATGCTCACTTGGACACACGCCGACGTGAGCCGTGGCTGCTTCCTGAAGAAAACATGAAGGTGATTCGCCAGGCAATACGGGAACGTTATGCACTGCTCCCTTACTGGTACACATTGTTCTACAAGGCTGAAAAAGATGGCGGCCCTGTTATGAGACCATTGTGGGTGGAATTTCCATCTGAAAAAGGACTTTTCAAAGAGGAGGAGACATTCATGATAGGTGAGTATCAAAGATAACCCCAAGACTTATATGCTAAGTTTCTTAGTGGTCATCAGATCTTGATTTAGTGTTCATGAAGTCTGAACCACAAACCTTGCTTAAAGACATTAAGGAAAATCTAGACTGTATGACATTTCCAGTATTGATGTTGCCTGAAAATGAGGTGACTCACTTGCTGTCTCAATAAATAAAAACTCTAATATTCTGCTAAGGTGATGCCTTAATGGTACGCCCAGTCACTGCAGCCGGTACCCAAGGGGTCAATGTTTTCTTCCCAGGGGGCACTGAACAGGTAAAATTCAGAAATCAGTTGTCTGTAATGCCAGATTACATCCAATTTTACTAGTTTGGCTATGAAATAACCAGCTAAAAGTCAAATCTGTGGCTAAAAGATTAGTGTATGTGTCTGTGTGCCTGCATATGTATGCACGTCTGTGCCTTTGTATAACCTTAAAATGTGAGATTTTTGACAAATGCTTTAAAAAATTGGAAAATTTTATTATTTTTTTAATGTAAGCATTTTGTTTTGTCATTTTAAGCTTTAAGTTGATTCAAATTTAAATATTGTTGCATTGATAAATGAGATGTTAAGAAAGGATTGTTTCAGTCTGCTATTTATGATTTCATATGTGCTGTAATGAGAAGTATGATAACAATAATGATGACATGTTTACGAACAATGTTAGATGTCCAGTAAAGATAATATAAACATAAACTCTCTTTTTGGATTTATATATTTATGGCAAAGACTACGACATTGCAGAAGTCATTGTGAAAAAGAGAAGCATTGTCATAATTATAGTCTGCAAATGAAAACAAGAAATTTAATGTAAATAGTGATTAATGTTGTTAAACTCAGGTGGGTTTTGTAAAGTTACAGTCTGATATCACTTTCTTAGAAATTCCTGAAATAAAAGCAAGAAGCTGTATTTAAATAGTGAATAGAGTTTCAGAAAGAATTGTGTTTTTCTAGTACTGGTATGATACAGACACAACTGAGCGTGTCTTTGGAGGTGCAGCACATTATGTAAAAACTCCACTGGATAAGGTAGGTGTACCAATATTTTCATTTTAGATTATACATGGTGTAATTGTATCGTTAGTTATGACAGTGGATCTCATTAGTTTTGTTTATTGACTTGTAGGCTTGCCTCAACCAATGTTTATTCATGGTAAAATATTGAATATGTCCAAGGATTGTAAATAACTTTTACAAGGATGTGTTATATGGAAAGCTATAAGAAAAATAAAGGATTTTTTTTCTGTGAATGCATATTGTGCTATTTATCCCCCATTGTGTTATCAGGTTATACGCCATATTTTTTCTAGATCCCAACATTCCAAAGAGGAGGCAGTATCATTCCTAAAAAAGAGCGCATTCGCCGGGCATCAAACTTGGGAAGACATGACCCATACACACTGGTTGTGGCATTAGATAGAAAGGTAAGGACATTTTTCCACCTTCACTTTTCCCAAAAATTATTAAGCAAAAGAAAAAGATGGTAAAAGAAAACTTCTCTTCTGATATGTATATATAATAAGATAAAACCAACATTGATAGTATTTTACCTTTGATTCAATTTAAAAAAATTAATTTCAGGGTTCAGCCAGAGGAGATTTGTACATTGATGATTATCATACATTCCACTACAGAAAGGGTGACTTTATCTACAGAGAATTCATTTTTAAAGACAAAGTCCTAGAAAATAAGTAAGTACATTCACTGCAGATTTGTTGTGTGTACAAATAAATGCTTCTCACTTCTATACTCACATGCACTTAGTGTAACAGGCTCACAGAGAAATACTCTATTAAATATACATGACTTTATAGATGTTTTTAAGCATATTCTTAAACGAGAGAAAAAATATTGATCATTTTTCCACTTGAAATTGCCTTATTCTCAGAATAAATTTTTCCAGAAATGGTAACCCAGGGTCGACCTTCACCACTCCCTCCTGGCTGGAGAAGGTCATCATTATGGGGCTCAGCACCAGTCCTTCAGCTGTAACTATCTCTAGTCCAAGTGAGTAACTCTTCTGATGATTTTTTATCTTAATTATGCAAAAAAAAAAAAAAAAGGGTGTGGGTATAAAATTGGTTAGACTTCTGAGAAAAAAAAAAGAATTCTTGGGTGGGATACTACAGGTTAGATATTTTATACTTTAAACCCTTTTTGACATCTGATGGTTTGAGATAATACTACACACTTGAAGACACATTTCTTTTTGATGAATTATTTCATATTTTTCTTCCAGAATCTGCCAGTACTAGCTTAGGTTTTACATATGACTCTGTAAAGATGATCTTGACTATTAGAAAACCAGCAGTAAATATTGCAGAAGATTGGACTATTAGTATACAGTAAAAGATCTTGTGATTTAAATAATTGTAGAATCATCAAGTCATTAATTCATAATACTAAATTGCAGAGTAAAAGATCTTTATGTGCGAAAAAAATTAAAGTAAATTTGAAGGTCAGAAGCATAAGATATCGGTGTATGAAATTTATATTGATAATCATGATGTGAAACAAAGGAATGTGCTGAAATTTTAAGCAATATTTGGTTCTTTCAAAGTGACTGTTTCCCTTGTGGTACAAGTTTATCAGCATATTTGCTGTTTATGTAATATATAAATTGTAACAAATGTATGGTACATTTCTTTTGATGTCATAGTGACTTATAATGTAATTATATTACCATCTCTTCCCAACAGTTGTTTAACTACCATTGTTTGAGAAGAAATGTTTTTTAATCTTTAAAATTTAAACATGTCAGTATATTCTCCTATTACAATAATGGCATGAAATCTATGCATTTGTCATTTTGTGGTATAACTCAGTTTGGGTTTATCCACTTATATGAATTCTTTGTTGTGTAACCTGTTTGGAAAATCAAGATTCCAGTAATAAGCAAAGTGAATTTTATAGTTTTTTCAATTTCAACTGTGTTGAATGTCATTTAAATGCTTTGTGTAAAAAAAGAGAAAATAAAATTGAAAATTTCTACAGTGTACAGTCCACTAAGAGATGTAATCATTTATAATATAATTTGTGCAAGATTATACTGCCAGGATGTGCTCAGGAGGTACCTTGCTATGGCCTTAAATTGGCAATTCTGCTCACATATAGACTATAGATATCCATGGCATCTACTTTTCATTGTACAAATACCTGTCTTTCTATTTTGATGTTTGCTAACATTTCTATTTTTACCTGTCTACTTTGGGGGTCATTCATTGCATTATGATGTGGTATTCAATAAAAGGAAACCTTGTGGAAATCTTTCAACTTAATAATGGAAGCTGGATATGAAAAATAAACATTTCAACAGTGCCAGTTATCTCTGTAGCTTAAAGTTTGAGTGAAAATGCAAGGCAGTCTACTTTTAATACTATTTGCAGATAACAGTTTGTCTTATGTGCCACAAAGCTGATGAAAAAATGCATTTTCTGTTTCATCTTATAAACCCAGGTCCTTTGAGGTCTTAAGTGCTGTTTATAAGGAATAATTGTCATCTAGCACTGGAAAAAAATCCCTAGATACAATGTAGTATTTCCATGATTTTACTGTGCTGGCCAGTGAAGTATCAAGCAAATCAATTTGCCTTATATGGACTAAAGACTCTGTATCATAGCAAAATAGCTAACACTTCAAAGGTTGGTAGATAATATACAGGACTTGAAGGTTGATTGTACTTGAATTCTTAATGAGATAAATTACTATGAGTACAGTCATAATACAACAGCAAAAAGTTATGCAAATTGGGTTCAAAATAAAAAAAATTTCAAAGGGGGGCTTTCTTTTTAAGTACAAAAAGTCCGTGAACATGTTCAAATTTTTTTGAGCAAATGGTTTTAGAATGGGGTGTGCTCACATGCATGTACAAAAGCCAGAAAGTGAGTAGGGCTGAAACTTTTTATTTGAAAACTGCCAACAACTGACTCATTGTAAATTCCCATTCATGAGTATCCAAGGTGGATTCTGTTTCATCAGAAATCTGACATGATTACAAAAGTGATGGGACAAAATTTACAGAGTGAAATCACTGGGTTTTTTTTATTTCATAATTGATCAGTATTTAACGAGTCCATATTCTAAACCAATAAAAATGCTGAATCATTGCACTCCAGGGCACTGTATGATATTGGTATAGATTAACAAAGAAACTAGTGGGAATTTCCCACTTTCAAATTACACAGGTGTGCCTCATGAAGGCAGTTAACTGTTATATCCATTGTATGTTTGTCTGGGTTTATATCCAGGTCACTTGTATACACCCACTTCTGCTTCTCTCTGAAATTTTAAATAACAGTTATGATTCAGAATGAGACATTACTGGATTTTGAACCATTTCATTTAAGGAAACCCACTCATGTCTTTTTTCTAAAAATAAATATTAAAAGAAATTATGATTCAGATATATCTTGAACTAATCCAAACACTAGTCAGACATGAGCTTTCCATGTTTTTTAATTCAATTCTGATTGTTCCTGAGATTCCCCGGCTGGTTAGGTGTTGGGTCCCAGATACATCATGTAAATGTTCAGAGGGTTTTTTTAAAACCTAGGCTCATGTTTGACTAGTATTAATATTTCAATCACAAATGTGTTCTTTAGAGTATACAAATAGACACTAGTCTTGTAAATTTTACATGGGGGATATACCTTGAGATCTGAAGAAATTTAACATGATTTCTTGGAATAGAATAACTGTTTAAAGTGTAAGATCCAGATCTGATGACACCTATGCCTTTTAGTTGAAATAGGAGTAAATGATTTTAATGCCACAAAGCCTGAAGATTACTAACAATAAATGACCCTAAAAGTTAACAAACTGATGACCTTGCCTTTGTGTAGTTTATATCAAATTCAATAGCATTTTATACTTGAAAATTTTCTTCCACTTTTCCATTTTATTTTACCAAAATAAAAAACATTTCATACTTGAAAATTTTTCTTTCGTTTTTTCTATTTATTTTCAAACACCCATAACAAAAAATCCCCCATGGAGAATCTGTCTCTAATCACATTGGAAATTTTTTAAAAAAGTACGATAAACTGTGTAATATGAGGAAACTGCTTGGTTCTTAGAACTGATAAACAACATCCCCTTGCTTTGCAATCAACCACTTCCTTAAACACCAAATCATGAATTAGTTATGCACCACTTCCTGCTGCATAGAACCATTTTTGGCATAATATAATTGAAGAGGCCTTAGTGAGTTTTTTCATGTTGTTCATCACTGATGATTAATTATTTAAGGAAAATAATAAGGGCCTAGTTTTTCGCTGCTTAATCAAACCCAGTTTGAACACAAATTTAGGGTTCTTTTGACTGAGGTCCACAACATAAATTGAGGTCACAATTCAACCTCTAGTCTTTTCAGACATGCATCAAGAAACATTTGTCAGAATCATATCTTTGACAGCAAAACAATTTAACAACACAGCCTAATGAAAGAATACACACATATAAAGTTCAGTTGTATTTAAACATTTATTTCAGAAATTTACATCAAATATCTGTGCCTAAGAAATATGTGATGACGGAAATATATGTCACACAAGCTTTTATCTTGAAGAAAACTTTTACAAGTGTCTCTTAGTTCAGAATTTTATTTTGTTCTCTCGTGTTCTTAAATATTGACATTTATAATTGTATATTAAATAATTTCTGACACTCAAATTAACAATATGCATATATTTATTTACATATGTACACTTCTGTTCATACTATTCACCTGTCTACTCTCAAAACTTTGAGATCAGGGTTTGCACAACTGTTTTCATTTGGTTATCATTAAATTAATGATTTAGTACAGATTATTTTATCTAGAGAAGAATCAAAAGATATTGCAGATATTTTAAATATATATTTTTGTGCTGTAAATTAATGAGTTTTCATGGATTGAATTAAGCTGGACCAGTCGGCCTTGAAAACTACTAGTCTACATGTGCTGTCAATTTACAGCCTCTAGATTTAAAACGGTTTCAAAGAAGACTTCTCTCAATAAAATTACTAATATGATGTTATGAAAAGTTCATTTGTAATAAAGACTACGAACTTCAGATACAAAATTTCTAAAACAAATTCTTTGAAATATGATGCCTCCAAATTTTTTTTAAATTAAAAATGCAAACTCTACTGGACTTTGACAGTCCTAGAGAATACTAAGTCTGCAGCTATTGAAAAGAATTAGTTTGAATGGTTATGAAACCAGTTCTCTACTGTAACTGTCTGTGTAAGACTGGCATCAATCTGAAAGAAGCTGGAAGAGTAGTTTCCAAGACTCCAGAGAAAGCTCTTTTTACAAATAAAAATACATCTTCTCATGTAAAGTCTGTCGGCAAAACTACCATTGGCACTTGTCCAACTAGTGAACTGGTTGTCCACCAATCATAAGATCATCAATCTGAAATACAAACATGGAAAATTTAAAGATATTTTTCCCGTAACTTGCACTTTTGTTATGAGTGCATAATCTTGACAAGTAAATATAGCCTGCTATAATGCACAAAAGGTAAAAACTTCTCTTGCATTTTCCATCCAAACAATTGAAAAAGAAACCTGTCAGCTGACATTCATATAAAAAAATTAACTCTCCTGCCCTTCCTTCTTGCACTTTATCTACCTCAATTGAAAATACCTATGATGACAAAAATTTCCCAACGTATTTATCAATGGACTTTCAAATTTGTTCCCAGGGCACAAGTGGGCTTATCAAATAATCAATACTGGCTGGCAAGATGCCATGCCAAGATAAAGAAAATGGAAATTTTCCATAAGGGGATTCCCCTATCTAGACAAAGACTATTATGGAGACCAAACTTGTGTTGCTATCCACAATACAAAGGAGCATTCAAATTTCGCTCTCCTGCTGCTACCTAATTTTTCTTCATATTGGAAAATATTTTTCTTTCGTTGATATAAATAATACCCTGAAAATTTCTGGATTCAATTTACACTTTTTTTTTTTATCAATTTCACTAAATACTTCCCTTAAAATCTACTGTTGATAATAAATATGTCCAAATGTTAATTCAGACTTTCCAAAGACAAAATATTCCTGAGAAAACCTACCAGATCTTCATCAGAGCCTTCATCTGAGGGATCTGAGAATATATCTGTCCACTGTGCAAAATCTGCTCCAGCGTTGACCAAAGCAGTGGCGATATCTGTGAACTTTCTACCCATGGCCAGACCAAGTGCTGATTTGAAGTCAAATGTCTTAGCCTCCAAGTTGATGTCTGTATGTTGCAGCAAGTAGTAGATTAACTCAACGTTGTGGTTCTCAACTGCATGGTGAAGAATGTTCCTTCCACTCTTTCCATCCTAATGTAAAAAAAAAAAAAAAAATTAATAAATAAATGTTATACTAGTAAGTTACACTGAAAATTTACATTCAAAAAAGACATTTAGACTTTTTTCATAAAAGAATGACTTTCTTATATTCCAATCACATTAAAATCTCAAAAATCAAGTTGTTCAGCATTTTTTAAACAAAAACAAAAATTAGAATATTGTTCTATTTTACCTCAATGTTCACGTCTGCTCCCAGTTTCACCAGGTAGTCTACCACACCCACATGACCTCTCTCTGCAGCCAGGTGAAGGCAACTCATTCCTGAAATAATAATAAGATGATGTTACCACCATTGCTCTGCAGATAAAAAGGATTATATGTACCAGGAAATACAAGGACACTTCAATTCCTTTGTTCATTGTTCATTATCTGAAAATCTTCAGGTGCATATTTTCATTTCCTGGTGGTAAAATAGGGAACTGGGCTAACAGATTTGAGAAATAAACAGCTAAAAGCTTTACAAATTGAAAATTGATCTTTATGAACTGATCCATCATCCTGCAGAATATAGTCAGATTAACAAGGCGATACAATAATAATAACGATTAAATAGAACATACCGTTGTAGTTGCGTGCATTGAGATCTTGAGGAATCTTCTGGTATGGTACTTGGTATGTGTTCTGGCTGACCTCTCTGTGTGTAACTGGTGTGGTCAACATTCTCACCCCCTCAATGTGTCCCTCACGGCACGCTATGTGTAGGGCTGTGTTCCCATGGCGATCGCGCTGCTCCACGCTTGCACCTGCACACATCAGTCTGCGGATCACTACTGGTTGTTTTGTGATGGCTGCTAAGTGCAGAGGTGCTTGCCCCAGATTGTTCTGGATATTGACCCATTTAAAGTAAGGAGCCAAGTCAATGATCTGCAGTGCTACATATTCTACCATTTGTATCAGGGCCACGTGTAACTGGCTGAAACGTCAAAGAAAGTGAAGCTATACACAATTTGCATTAAATGTCAATAAAATAAATTTTTTAAGAAAATATTTCAAAAACCTAAAATACGTTAAAGGTCAAACAATGGTCATTAACTTCACAACTATTTTGAAACCAATTTCTAATTTTCATTTTTTTTTTTTTTTTTTTGAAATAATCAATTTTTCATAATTTTTAATGAGTGTGGCTCGATTGAAGCAGAAGCCATTGCTGATAAAAGGTACTGGGCTGGCCGCTCCCCACCCAACCACCATTTGGGATTGATTTGCCCGTAGTGTCTCTGTATGATATGAATACACAACAACTGGAAATCCCGACATGAGTCACATGACTGGAAATTTTGACACCATAAGAACAACACATCATTTCGAAATTTTAGAACTATTTTCCTTTTCATTTCTTTAAAAGAAAATTGTTCACTTACGTATCTCCGTCCTCGTCTTGAGAATACAAATCAATTTGTTGCTGAGTTAGCTGGCCGTTCGCAGGAGCAAACGGCGTGTCATTGTCCTCAGTAAAACCCTGATCACTGTCAATTCTGTCACTATCACTTTTACGCTCAGAACCTCTGTCCTGTTCACATGATTCAGAAATAGGCTGTGATTCTAATTTCAATCTGTCTATTCCATCTGTCAAAGAGTCTGATGTGGATGAATTGAAAGATCCAATTGAGCCGAATCCTGAATCAAATCGCGTGCCGCTCGAGGTGTCCGTTTCTGGTTTCCCTAACAAATATGGCGGAGGTTGTAACCTGGAGTAGTCCAATTTTGACAAATCTATTTCGTCTTCTCTCGAACCAACTCGATTGAAAGGAGCATCATAAGCACAATCTGTTTCCACGTCGCACGGTAGGTCACTCATTTTGAATGAATTCTTGTCCTGTTTTTTATCTGAAATCGCACATTCAAAATGGCGGATTAAAATTTGACAAAGTTTAAAGGATTTTTACGGTCATTACCACCTCTCACAGCAAACTTTGATACTAAATGTTATCACTAGCTGACAAGAACATTATATACTACGGTTTGGGAAATTTCTAGTGGAAAAACTCACCGTAACGCTCTGCTTTTTTTGACTTAAAGGAGCGCAAACTTTCCGTATTGCGTCTTTTTAGTATCCGTGCGGGCGGTGGGCAATTTCTGAGGGGATTCCCCTTTTCTCCAACCAATGAAATTATAAAATTCTGGTCACGTGACCTAGATCTCCAAAAAAGGTAAACATATTACCCAATCACTGCATTGCATTTTGTCACATGCTAGGGGAATTCCCTTTTTTGTTTACGAAATGTTTGGGAATTTCCCAGCATCACTTCTAAATTGTTCATGACGGTTGAACGCTTTTCTGGACACTTCACATAAACACATTACCTTGTGATAGTGAAATATTTCACAATTTTATTTAGTATCAATGTATATACAGATTTTCTCTGTGATGGTATTCCCAAAGTTTGTTTTTATCATTATATATCGCTTTTAACTTGGAATTAAGTGCCGTCCTAAGCCTGGAACCCACCAAATCGCATCAAATTATTTTCGTTTCTTTGTTTTCCCACCTTGCTTCACTAAGCAACCAATATAACCTTACTACCCTGGCCGATCATTGTCTTCTTGTAGAATCAAAATATGTGAACAGCTGTTAATGATTGCAGTTGATACTACTGTACAACAGTAACGGATTTATAAGGGATGTCAGGGGGGTCCTGACCCCCTCTTCGATTTCTGAAAAAAATCACATCAGTGGTCCCCTTTTGAAATTAGAATTTTGACCAGCTGGATCATAGTTCTAAACCGTACCTAACGGCACCGATCGCCCTCCAAACTGAAAATACCAAATTTTCGCGGCCCCCGAACCCCACGCCAAGGGGGGATCGGAGGATCGGCTTTCCATCTGAGGACCCCCTTCAAATAATCCTGGATCAGCCCCTGTACAAGTAGGTCTATCGCAGAAATTCGAAGGTCAAAGCACCCGGCATGTACCAGTACTAAATCGGTGAGAGCGAGAAAGAGAGATAGAAAGAAGGGGAGGGTAAGGAGAGAGGAAAGAAAGAATAAAGCATAAGAATTAAAGAAAGAGAACAGCCGAGAGAAAGAAAGAAAAAGAAAAGGGAAACTAAGTTAGATCCGTAAACCGCCCACAACCAGCCTGTCATAATTGATGTGTATGCACAACTTGGAAGTACAGTCGACACAGTTAAATGATTTGTAAACTTTTAGAAATAGCATAGAATTTCCATCTTTATGTGAAAAGGATTGTATATTCCTACTTGAATCATCGCTCCGAATGAGCTTGCATTCGAATGTCTTATTAGTCAGACAAAATTTTTATGAGATCATCTAAACGAATTACTTAATAATTATTAGTATCAGGGCTGTCCTCAGTAAATTTAGATTATGTCAAAAATAAATAAATAAATAAATAAATGAATAAATAAATAAATAAATAACCCCTTGATCTTGATAATTCGAGAAATGGCACAGAACCTTTCTTTATGTCAATTTGTTCTATTCAATGCTAATCAAAATCAGATATCAGAATTGATACGAGAGGCTAACAATATCGGCCGTCATCAGCCAGCCATGAAAAGGGACAGGGGATGGATCTACCTGACATTTATAAGAGGGTCCTGGCCGTTATACCACCTAGTGGTCAGTGAGAAATAACATCTAGTCTGATGAAGGCCTACGTACGTCCAGGATGGCCGTAAGGCAAGGGATTGAAAACATCCCAGCTTGTGTTTTATAATTACCATATATATATATATATATATATATATATATATATATATATATATATATATATATATATATATATATATATATATATATATATATGAAGTTATCATATATTTCAGCCGACACAATGTACATGTACTTGTAGTATAATAATTCCCTTATGATCACTTTCCAAGTGACTGGAAGATAAGGTGGTAAGCGGGAAAGAAACTTAAAAATGGTTTGTAACAGGATTTTTATCCAATCAATCAATCAAGCCCAAATGTAATCAATTAAACTTGTGTCAAGTGCTTATTTGTTTCGGGTTCCATGCTTTTGTATTGTAAAGGGATTAGGAGCATGCGCTCGACTTTTCTGATGTCACTGCGTTAGCTGTGCTTCACTCTAGATCTGTTTCGTTTGAGATAAGTGGGTATTGTTACTCAGTATCATCATAATCAGCCGTATAATTAGGCCTACCTCTAAAAGGAGGTAATGTTTTTTGTTCCGTTAGTTTGTCTGTCTGTTCGCAACATTATGCAAAAGTCATGGACGGGTTTTGGTGTAATTTTCAAGATATGTCACAAATATTATTGGCCAAGGAAGAAATGATTACATTTTAGAGGTCATAGGGGGCCTACGGATTACCATTAAAACGTAAAGCACACAAGCAGTACTAATTGTCTTGACCTGTTTTAATAGTACATAACACAGACGTTATTTGCAAGCTGTGACCTGACCTCTGAATTAATTTCACTTGTCAGAGGCCTGCGGTCTCTAAGTGCTTTTGTAGTTATTATTATTATTATTGTTATTATTATCAATTGTTTTGATTCCGTGTATGAAAATCCAGTAAATAATTTTTAACCAAATTTTGCGAGACTAAAATCAGTCAGAGTACGTAACGAATTCACGGAAAGCTATTTCTCTCTCTCTCTCTCTCTCTCTCTCTCTCATACACACGCACACACACAAAGACACACACACACACACACACTGGCCACACATCGATTATTGAACAAAGTGCAATAAGCACTACAGGAAGAAAAACGACCTTCAGCACCAAGATAGTCATGCATCATATTCAGTGTGTTGCTATATTAAGTCAGTTATGTGAGATGACTCCCAGCAGTTGTGTCACATGTGAAACTCAGTACAGACTCGTCACTGTATGTTCTGAATTACAGGAAGATCCCCATACGTTTTTAAGAACATACACATACAAACACTACACACACGAGCTGTCTCTTGACACAAAGAAAGCCGAATACTTGTTAATCAGACATAGTTGTATTAGTAACCATAAAGACTACAAAATAAATTAATTGCTCTGTCAAGAAATGTAGGCCTAATCAAAATGAAAGTAAATCTGAAGCATCCAAGCATCATCCCAAAAACTGTCATGATATATCGTTTTTCAAAGAAATAGAAAGAGTTAATAGCATACTCCACACATATAAATTATTCAAACAAACAAACAAACAAAAAACAAACAAACAAACAAACAAACAAAACAAAAAAAATAAATAAATAAAATAAATAATTGAAAGGAAAAACTACAAGCAAATGATTAAAATATCTTCTTCATTCACGTGACTTAAAACAATATAGAACATTATACATGAATTACAACATGCAACAACGTACACAAGAAAAGATATTCTAAACCAACCACGTGCACAACCAAGTTAACTAAAGCAATTGATGATATACTGTAATAAATGAATAAATGAATAAATGAATGAATGAATAAATGGATAAATAAATAAGTTAATTAATTAATTAATTAATTAATTAATTAATTAATTAATTAATTAATTAATTAATTAATTAATTAATTAACCGGTTTCCAGAAGGGTCTTTTATAGAGAAAAAATGATAATATTTTAAGTTACTTTTATCTTTTTTAGTGGGCCTACATGTACCATCTAAGTTTTTTTCGGAAAAAGTTATTTGATTGCACTCTTTCTTTTATCCAGTGGTTTGTTGCCTTAATAGCGTTAAGAGTGAATAATTTTAGAATTAGGCAAAATATCAAGAATTAACAGCAACAACGAATTTAAGAAAACGCCGACAAAACAGTATGGATAGTAAAGGAGGGAAGTACATAAGAAAACCTAATGCCTTGAACAAAGAGAGTTTAAATAAATAAATAAAGATAAAATGAAATCGATCTCCGAAATCATGCAACAAGATGCGTGCATGCTAGCTGTGTGTCTGTGTCAGTCGATATTTCTTCTCCTTTTTAATAAGTCAGATATCAACTGGGAAGATAGATCCAACCTTTTAAAGTCTGTTATTATCACAATGCTTGAATGATAGAACCATGTTGATGGTGAAGTGTTGAAAGTACCGTGCTGCCATTGTGTTCAATCAGTTTTGCACACCAAACGCAATCACTGCAAACCTAAATCCACACCCCTTCACGATGTATTGAGGAGAAATCAATAAAATATGGTTGAAAGTGTGCATAATTCATTCAGTGATTCAGATATGCAGAGAAAGCAAGCAGAAATTATCGTGAGTCATTCATCCGTCGGATAATCTATGAGATTCATTCCGGTAAGTCGATTACCACCGTTGATTACCTTTCACCCCCCGAGAACGGAATAAACTCGGCAGGGTCAACATTCATTTTGCAGCCGCGGTTTCGATTATTATGACTGCATTAACATAGAAGGCAGCTGCCGACTACCACTTTAGACTTAGGAGTTGTCTCTCCGTCAGGCAGCGTCTAACCCTGTAGACTAGAACTAAGGTACGTAGCGGCTTTGGTTATATTTACTCCTAACGTGTTATAAGATGCAAATTTTTTTTGATGTCCGTATTAATGGCCGGTACAGTTCTAGCTGAGCTGCCTAGCTGCTCAGTTTGTCTTTTTGTCCCAGACAGTAACGTGTTTGTGATCCAGACGCAGTTGCCTGAAGTTTTTGCTTAGCGTACTCTGGCGTCTCTTTGCTGTAGTACTCATGACAGTTACTGATACTTGCGGTGTTTGTTGCTCAAACTCAGACACTGAGAAAGCATGATTTAATGAAATGCCACAATAATTATGACAGGATTTTTTTCTTGGTAATACCCAGCATTTTCCTTTGCCACGGTTTGGCTTTAAAGACAGACCTTGACAGCGACGAGACAGTTCCAGCTCATGCATGAGAGAGTGGGAAGTGTATAGATTGGTTGTTATGTATCGGGAGACTTAATTTGTATGTTTAAAATACCCACATGTAACGACATATATAAATACATGTACATGTAGTTCACAATGCACATGATGTCGTTTTCACATGGCCATTTATTATCATAGCGTCTGCAATTGATCTTATCATTGATTCAGCTTATTGATGATTAAGGTGTTATGTTAAGGATAAGATAAACTGCCAAAGAACAAAAGCCTGTTTTTTTTCTCTTCAAATCTGACAGTTGTATTTAATCAGATGCAAAATTGAATATTGAATAATTCCTGCATGGCTTACTATATTTATGTACTATCTGTGTCAATTTTATGATGTTGATTGTTTTTGTGTTGGTAGAAAGTTGTCAGTTTGGTTGTTCTTTGTTTATTGGGGGTGGGATCTAATAAAAAAAGTTAAAATATGATTTTCTTTTAATTAATGTGGATATAGACATCTGCATGTCTGATGAATAAAGTTAAAGCTTTTCTACACGTGTATAATTTTGTTTATTTTTGCTGTCCGTTGTATAAACTATATCAGCATGTATTTAAAGTGAAATCTCTCATCTTTCTTTTAAGATATGTGTGAAATAGATAAACTTGTACTTTTATGTTTTTTTTTCATCATTTTGCAATGGTTTTGTAGTTGAGACACGTTGTTTCTTGTGTTAGGAATAACAGGATGCTTTATTGGAGTCAGGGCAAATAATATGTATAATGTGTAATATAATATGTAAGGTATGATAAAAATAATGTAATAAGCTGTGGATATGACCGCAAGCTGTTTTATTTGCAGGTTATTTGTATGACCATGAAGTTGAGTTGGTTGCTGGTGGTTAGCTGTGTAGCAGTTCTGGGCTGGTGTAAACCAAGGGGAAAGGTAAGTGGATCTCACTTTAAAGTTGTTGGGTAAATTAATGTATTTGGTCTACCCCCTATTTCAAAGAATCTTGTCATGCATTCAGAAGGACTAGACGGTATCAAAATACACTCCTGATTGATGGCCACTGAATAGTTTCTGATCTCTCTCAAAAAGCGTACAAACATTTATTGATTAACTTTAGCCTTTCCAACATCTTCCCTCACAAATATCAATTTTTTTCATGACTTGCTCCAATAGTTCTTCATTTATGTAGTAGAATTTTCTGAAAGGTTGTACCATATTAGTAAAGAGAGAGAGAGTTGGTAGACATGTGACATTGCCTCCTTGTTTCATTGACTTAACATGTGAAGTCACATTCTGGAGATGGTATTAATTTTTTATCGATTCTCATAGTGAACAAATCAATAGCCTGTGGAGAGGATAAGGTCACGCCAGTTATTTACCAAAGGTTCCTATGCCAAAAATCAATAACAAAGGGGTTTTACTTCTCCCTTGTTTTTTTCCCCTGTATTTTGTATTGAGGGGATTCCTGATAGTCTAGGGTTAATCTCCTTCTGAATCTTGATGAACCTTTTACATCAGAAATAGTCATATGATCCAGGCGATTATGTGTTTTGCAGATATCTTACAGATTTGGTCAACAAAACTTCATTTTATTGATGATGATGTGCACAGTGACTCAATGTATTGTAGAAATCAGATTGAAAAAGATCATAGGAATTTTAAAATAACAGTAAATCTTGGGTCTAGAATTCTACATATTAAGAATTGCTTTTCATAAACATTTTACTAATAGTCTCTTTGGTATAAAGCTAAAAAAATTTGAAAATATAACTGGGCATATAAAAAAAGATCTGTCTTTAAAGATTGGATTAGCTGTTTGCTTCGTTACATTACACAAGTAATACCTTATCACCCAAAGTATTTCTAAATGGTCCCTGTATTTTTTCTCTCATTTTTAGACATTTTTGCTGCCTTGTTTAATTTTGTTTACTCTTTCCTTGTAATATTCCTTGCTCGATCATCTCAGACTTTACGAAAGCATTGGATCGTTTTTATGGCCTTTCGTAAAGTCTGTCATTTATGACTTGCCATCTTGTAATATGTCTTTGGCAGCAAAACTACAAAAGGAATATCTGTTGTCGTTTAAGCCCCCTTTACACTGAACGGCGTCCTTTCTGCGTCCTGTAGTACGGTCCCGTTTGAGAGTCAAAATATAATAATAATTTACGTGCCGGAAAATGGGCGATCATTAAGCATTCATTCTGCAACTAAAGCAATGATTGTGCCTCCTTATTACGGCCACAGTGATGCCAGTTTCATCTATCTCACAAAAGACGCAGAAAGGACGCCGTCCAGTGTAAAGGGGGTTTTAAATCTTAAAAAGACCCCATCAAGAGAGAAGAGTAGAGAAGTCCAAGTCATCCTTTCCTCCATCTTGTGTGATGTATGTGCTGTCTTGATATGCAGGTGTTACATCTGTCTAATGGTTTCCTTGGCCATGGGTTCAAGTTTTTTTATGTAACTGGCATGATATTTTCTTTAAGCAGACTACTACTAGTACTAGTATTCTGAACTTGAAATGAACTGGACATTTTGGCTGAAAAGTAAAGAAGATCAGTTTTCTGCCCTTCTCTGCATTCGACTGACAAGTACTTGTTGGTCTCACTCTGCTGTAGATGGATTCAAGTGTCCTGCTATAACTGCTCTTTCATTGTTATCTCCACTGTGCAACGGGCTGGGAAATGAGGCATAGGAGATGTATTCATGATGGCTGCTTGATATATTGGTTTGATTCGTCTGTTTGTCTGCAATCTATACAGTTCATGGTAGCACATACAATTAATTTAAATGCTAAAGATAAGTTATTTTTGCTAGTGCAAATGAAAAAAGGGTATTTTTATATTTTTAGATTTGTCATTAGTTTAGTTAAACGCAACTAATTTGACCAGAATTTAAACTTGCCCAATCTTTTACAAGACAGTTTGATCACTGACAACAAAATATAATGTGCCACTTCATATATCAGAATATTTACCATATTTTTGTAAATTTCACAGTATGAAAACTTTGAAACTGCAAAATCAAAATTATAATGCTTTTTGCACCCTTTTTTGTAGGGTTTGAAAGTGTAAATTACATTTACACTTTGCAGCTTTGCAGGTGCAGTTCAAGTATAGATTTTGCTGTTCAAGCTCAGGTCAAAAGAAGGATATATACATTTTATTATCAAGAATCCTCCACACCCACACATTTAAGGGAACAACAGAAAACTCAATGTATTGATTTCTCCAGACAACAGAAATATAAGGCTCTTGTGGTGTATGAGTCACAGCGGAGATTAGTCTGGATATTTGGTGGATCTGCATTTCTACCATTTTGTAAAATGTCCAAGAGCAACATAACATAAAATATCATTATTAATAATACAACTGTTCTCATTAATTTGATATTGAAAACCCAAGTTTTGCTAAATATTCTGTTTGAAATATGGCAGCCTTTAATTTTAATAATGAAAAGCAGGGTGATCATTGTTGTTTGATTCGATGATGATTAATGATTTTAAAACTGTTTGTGTTTTGTGTACTCTGTGCCAGAATCATGCAGTAATATTAGATCAGTACCACATACATCATCCTCAAAGACTGCTGTACGTATAGCAGGTAGATTTGTATCCATTGTGTTTAAACAGTGAGCATATCTCGGGAGTCTTGTTGTCCTAGGTGACTTCAGTGATTGATTGCTTTGTCTTTTTTATGATATATCAGATATCCCCACCTGAGTTTTTGCCTCAGCGCTCTGGTTGTGGTGTGCGCTGTATCAGTGTCACTGTATGAATAGGGGTCTTTGGTGCTGGGGCTATTGTCATGATGAGAAATGGGTCTTATGGTGTGGCTAAAAGTTCATCATATTTAAATTTTAATTTCCTAATGTGTCATAGTATATTTACTTTCAGTTTATGTTGGAGGGTGGAATGTGAGTTTATAATTTATGATATAATTGAAGGGACAGTGCGGTGTATGTGAAGAACAGAAATAATACACATCCCTACTTGAATATATATTTTACCTAGGTTTAGTTTAATATGGTCATCAGACAAACATATTTGTATTTTTAATGGTATAATTATTCACAGTAACTCTTAGAAGACAACTAAAATCATAAATTCAAATGTGCCAAAATATTCCATCATAAATTTAAGATTAACTTTTCGTCTAAGTATTTGTGTGAATCTGTCCCTCAGCAGATGTTAGGTCCTCTATATGACTGCTTTGTCTTGTCACTGGTGGGTAAAATTGCATCAAAAAAAGTAAAAGTCAAAGCTTCCAGTGGTTAGTAAATAATAATAATAATAATAATAAATAAATAAGATAAAAAACAGGACATTGTTATAAAAATTCTGGGAACCTATTGTTTTTAATTTATGCAGTGTACCTCGTGAGTTAATAATCTTCACACTGGGGTTTAAGTGGAATTTTGTGTTCTAATCATATCACTGGTATTCCACACACAGCAAGCCTTTGATTTATCGTCCAAGCAACTTTTTATTTTCCATCTTGTCAGTTTTGATCATCATTTTTGTCCACTTCTCAGGGATACCTTATAATTGTTTGAAATGTGATATATAATGAACTCATTGAACATCTGTAATGTGCTTCTGATTTCAAATACATGTAGAGATTAGTGGTGTTTTCTTTTTAGTTGGAGTCTCCCTCTCTCTCTCTTCTGGGTCTGGTCTCAACTACTCCCTCCTTTCTCTTTCTGCCTTGCCATATTTGTATCTAGTATTTAATAAAGAGTCTCATTGATTCATGCTTTGCTTTGGGGTTTTCATGCTCACCTCTTTTAACTTTTAAACCCTCCTTCAAATAAACTGTAAACTGAATCCACCACAAGACATACAAAATGGTAATTGTACAATTGAACCTTGCTATTGAAAAGGGAGACCCTTAGAATTTTTAATGGGGAGAAATGGCTCAGAATTCAAAAGAAGATCTGGGTAATATTTCTTGTTTAATGGAGAGTAGAATAAAGCATTTTGTATGGTCATTATCTTTTTAAAGCATGGTTGGTAAATACTTCAACTGCTGTCACAAATTGGGGATGCAAAAATAAAATTGCACAGTTCTGTGAAGGTTTCACAGATCATACTAATTGGGTCAAAGGAGATTTTTTTAAGGGGGTGGGGTAAAAGCAGTTATTGTGCTTTAGGGACATTAAAAAGGAGGGTAATTTGTCTTAAATTATTCGTGACATATTTTAAAAATCATGAAATTCCATTATGGACTAAAATGAAGAGAAATTTGAGTACTGCCTGTCAAATCAATGATAACAAGTGGAAAAGTGTGCATAGGTATAGTTGTTTGGGAGAATTGAATGCAAATAAAAGTCCCATGTTTAACTTGGTACTTCAGACCATCTGGTTATTTGCTAAATGTGAACTTGCCCAAAGGGCTATTGATTATTAAATATATGGTACAGTCCTAGCTGTTGCAGGCATAGACTGCCTTACAGTTCAAAAGAGATGGAATCAAATTATATGGCCTGTGTTTTTTTATGTACAGACACAGATGTGTCTGTACATATTGCCATCACCTGCGTCTGTCGTCGCCGATGGCGATGCCGATGCTGATGCCGATGCCGATGCCGATGCCGTGCACTTTCCTTGTAAACACGATAAGTGGAGGGCAGTTTTACTTTTTGGCTTTATATTTACAGAGCTGATGAATATTCATAAAACGCAGGTCAAGTTCGAAAATCAGCATGATCGGGCCATTATTGTAGAAGTTATGCTGTTTTTTCACTTTTCAGCATATTTTTCACATTTCCTCAGATTCAATTCTTAGGTATGTTAACAGTCTCATTATTAAACTAATAAGATACGTAAAAGTTTTTGTTTGACATTTCCTGCATCTTTACAACATTGTTAGTTGATTTTGTAAAAATNTGCTGTCTTGTTTACATTTTGGCATTTTCAAGTTGTGACTTTGAAGTTCCATGGGCCTGAAGACCTTTGCTAGTCACATTTTCTGAATATCCATGATACTAATATTTTATTATTAAAAATTGATGGTCATTATGCTGTTAAACATTATGTAATATTGCATCAAAATTTGAAAAAAACCTACTTTGGGCACTGCTCCCATGATGATCATTTAAGAAAAACCATGTCACTTACTGTTCTCAAACAGTTCAGTAAATATGTACAGATGTGTCTGTACATATTGCCATCACCTGCGTCTGTCGTCGCCATCAGCGCCGTCACCGGCGCCTTGCACTTTCATTTTCTTTTAAATTTTAGACTTTCATAAACCAGATGCTTTCCTTTAATAAAGACCATAATATATACAGCCCCTGTTTCTTCTTAAAGATCATAATTGAGTGAATTATTTGCCTGTCCATTACATAAATCCCAACCTCTCAAAGAATTGTGGCCAATCAAGGCAAATTTCACAAAGCCACCGTTAGCTAACGACTGTCTGTACAGTTTCTTATTCTTAGTAAGTTAATTTATCTGCCCACATGATGTGTTGAGCAAACCCTAAAATGTAAATACAGTTTAAAACTTTTAAAGGCTTATCATATAGCCAAGCTGACCTCTTGGGCCAGTTGCACAAAAGAAATTTAGACTTAAAGTTGTTCCAAGAAAAATCAGTTATAGTACACCTCAGTGAAATATTGAGCCTGTTTTAATGCATTGGAAAGGGGTGTTTTTGACCAATGTATAGTTACTTTTTATTAGTGAACTACGGAAAATAAGCAGATACTTGGCTGAAAGGGACTGTATGCTATAGTAGCCTGTCGTGTTACTAAGAGATTGAGAGGGCAGTAAACTGACAGAGTAAATATTGGAGATGAATAGGTCGGTTTTACAATAAATTAAGTCTTGAAAACGTGGCCCCTTAATCTGATATCTGCTATCTGTGACCGAATTTTCAGTCTAGTTATAAAGGATTCGCTAAATTTATTTATGCTACTTCGACTTAAAAATACAGTATCTGTACAATTTATAATTTTCCCCATTAAAAAGATTGATTTATTATACAATTATAAAAAACAAAAAGCAACAAAAGGTTGAATCTACAGTTACATCACATATCAAGTTCTGTGTCATGATGTGTATTGATTTGGTGTTAGAAGTATTGTCTGGAGCACATTTGGGCAGCAATTTGTGGTTTTCGATCAAGGTTTTAAAAGATTACGTAAATTGTTTTTGTGCCAGGCGAGATAATTGTTATTTTGTAGGTTTCTTTCTCTCTTCCCATTGTTCTTTGAGTTACTAGTACATGTATGCTTTTTATTGCGCAATTTCAAATTGTTCAATTTCATAACAGATTTCATACAAATGCCTTTTTTTTACTGTGTTCCAGCATGGCTTCTTTGATGATGAAGCAGACGATCTTCCAAAGATGCACATTCAGGTGATGAAGGAAAGAGAACAGAAGCCAAGTGCTCCCAGGAAGCCACATGTAGACAAGACAGCTGAGGAAAAGAAGGCCGATGAAACGGTTACAAAAGGTAAGTATTCTTCTGATTAGATTTAGCATCTGGTCAGAATCAGTGCTTTAGTTTTGATATTGTGTTAGCTAGGACATTGTGTGAAAAAAATATTGTGTTAGTTTTTTTAATTGTCTTACATTAGAACAATTTAGCAAGGGCCATTTGGAAACGACATGCCATGATGAAAAATAATATAAGTATCATGTTTGCTTTAAGAGAAAAATAATTCTCATTTGAGAAAAAAATGGGCCAGACGATGTTTTGTGTCAAAAGGAAAGATGTGATGGTAAAATAGTTATGTTGTATTTTGGATTTTTCTGTAGATTTAAAAAAAAAAACTTTTTTTCTTCAGACCCATGTGCTGGAGTGTGGTGCCAGCTGGGACGAGCCTGTAAAGTGAACGCAGATGGCTTTGGGAAGTGCGAATGTGGAGACGAAAAGCTTTGTCTTGGTCACCATAAAAAAGTCTGTGGCACCAACAGGGTATGGTACCCGAGTCACTGCGAGTTGCACCGTCAGGCCTGTGTGTTGAGACAGCACATCAGGATTGACCACACGGAAATGGGATGTGTGGAACAAGGTAATACTGCCATTGATATCTATGGAACAAGGTAAAGTAATGATAGGTTTCTATGGAACAAGGCAAAGGTATGTTCCTGTTGTAGTTTTTGGATACTTTAAGGGATACTAAAAAAAAGCTGGTAAGAGCCCCAATGTATATTCAGCTATATTCCTATACCTTAAATTCTCTAGCACTCCCTTGATATGAGAACATAGTAGTCCTTGTCAAGTCTTTCCTAAGAGGTTTCAAGGAGGTGGTCTACTAGAGGATACTGATAGTGAAACCATCCCTGAACAGACATGGTGGACTGCATTTCCAATCACATTTAATATAAAGGCTGGGCCCTGGCAGACTATCTGCACTGTTACATAACAGTATGTAGTGGCAGTAAATTCCGTTTCCCGTTTCCCGAAGAAGTCTATGGAAGAAATACGAGTAAATATCAAAGCTCATTTGATTTGTATGTTAGTGTCTAAATGTTTAAGGTTAATTGTAGATAGGTTTCTATGAAACAAGGTAAAGGGGAGGTTGAATTATATGGAAAAAGGTAAAGATTTACTGATTTATGTATGTGGCAGAAACTTCAATTAAATGTTAGCAAAACTTGTATGAAAGTTAAAATTTGATTTGAGCTTAAGCCACTCTGCCATGGTCTCAGAAGAAGAGGATCGGAAACATTATTACTGAACATCAGGTTAAATAACTGGAAAATTGGAGGTTAAATTATGTTTGGACGAAATTATCAGGTGCTTGTGCAGAATCTGATCCACAGACTATGTTTCTGCAAAGGGAGATGAATTAAGACCATTGCACAATATAAAATACTTAAGCATAGTGAGTCATCTTTTCTTCTCTCCCTCTCTCTCTTAACCTCGAGTCCACTTTTATAATAGTTTCATATTTTAATGTCATAATGTTACTGCAACAGTAAATGGTTACCTTAAAGCAGGTGACATATTATTTAGGGCTCACATTTACAAAGCTTTTCTCTCTCAGGTGATCAATATATAACAGAGCTTGCATTAACCCTGGAAAATGCCCAGATAATCACTAAAGGGACTAATGGTCTGACAATGACAATGCTTTGCTGTGCTTTTAATCCTGATTAAAATGGACGGAAACATTAAACTTTTCACATTGAAGATAGATTATATGTGTACTGAGACATTATAGTCATATGTGTTCATTAAAAAGTATAAGGGTCCATTCCCAATGAAATTCTAGCTTTATGAAGATCAGTCCAACTCTGCAGAGACTCGCTGAATGCAATCAGATACACTGAATGACGCTCTTCCTCGGAGCAGCTAGGGGGTGATTAACTTTCATGTGCACTTTGTTTTGAGTGTGACCAAATGCTAAAATTAACCCCCCCTCCCATCACCTGCTCAAGGAAGCCCGTCATACAGCATATCTGATTGCAGTCAATGAGAATCCCTACAGAGTTGGATGGATCTATGTTAAGCGTCCGTTTCATTGGGAATGGGCCCTTAGATCATATAATCACAGTGCTGGTTGGTGGACCACAAAAGAGCGTGTTGTTCCATTAATGGCTGTGCAAAGAGAATGAATCCTGACCCTCGGTGGTTATTGATCAGTTGAGCTGGCTTTTATCTTATTACGTCTTGAGTGCATTTAATATCCCCCTGGTTCATTATAAACACCTTTGCTGCTACTTTGGGTGGGATTCTTGTCACATGCCCTGCATTTTAACACTTGTTATTTAAAGGAAAATTATATTGATGATATGAGCTGCCACATTCTGCAACTTTTTGGCAAACATTTTTTAAAGAAAATTACATTGGCAAAATGTTTTTTAGTGCTGGGACTCTTTCTGGCAGAGATCTTAATAGCATTAAAAATTGTTAGTCAGATATATGTCAGAAGTAAGGAAATTAGTTGCATTAATTGAAATGTCTGTCATTCTTTATCCTACAACTGCACTAAGAACAAACCTATTTATTTTTTCCTTTTATATAGAATATTTAACCACTCTTGCAATGAAAGGCAGTGGACCAATATACATTCCAAAGCCCCAATAGATTTTTTTTGCTTACATCATTACTTGTCAACACACTCTTTTAACCTGTTTTGTGGTTTCACTCAAAGCATAGATTGCCTTTGTGAAATCGTGAGGCAACTTATAGAAATCAATCAGTACTCTGGGTCTGGCAAATACAGCACTTTATTGGCTAAATCAGATGCTTCAATGTGCTAAATGTCATGGCTTTTTGGAAAGAATAGGCTGTATGCAATAATAAAAAATATTGGCGAGTGAAAACTGAGTTTGGCTCTCTCGGAATTAGTAGACGTCTTTTTTTTTTTGGAAAAGAAGGACACTTGAAAAATTTTTTGTCACGAAGTGGCAATGAAGGGCTTTTTAGAAGATGAAAAGCTAAGAACTGATTTAATTTGTATTCCAGGACAAATTATGAAGGTTCATTGGCTGAATAGTTATAGGCAAACAACTTGTGTTAAACCTTGTTATTGCAAAAATATGAATATTCATTGAAATTTCAGCAGTTTTCCCTTTATCACAATGGTATACCATAACCAAAATTGATGAGAAAATTACAACCTTTTAACCCATTTGCACTTATTATTTCATTAAGAAAGTAACTCAGAAATGAGACACTTAGAACTGTAAAACAGGTTTATGGATGGTAATTCTATGAATTGTTTTGCTGTGATGAAGGATGAAGTGTTCAAATTTCCCAGAAATTGAATTTTTGCTACGTAAAGGTCTAATGCTTACTGTGATTGTTAGATTTTTCTAAAGGTGAGGTCACATGGAAGTCGGAGGGATTTTATCCCATAATTTTCTGTCAATGGCCTTCTACCTTTCAAATTGAATAAAATTAGTACATTGAACTCAGACAACTGACAGGATATGAGACATTGGTCATTTTAGAAAAATAGCCAATTAAGAAGTGCCATCTGTGTTCTTCAATAATTGATTAGGTCTTGGCGGTCAAGAGAAAATGTTGGTTTGGCCCCCAACCAATGTCTAAATTAGATATATCCACATAGTAGAAATCAATGCAGTGAGAGAAGCATTTTTTTGTGCAGACAGAGAACAAACTTATCTGTTACTCCAGAAATATGACTACAGACAGTAGATTGGATAGAGAGTCAGATAGTGGTATCTAGTTTGATCTGATTTCTTGGATTTTCAGTTAATTAAGTTTAAAAGCAGCATGTCATAAGTCATTATATGTGAATGATGTCTTCATGTTGAAATTAATATCAAGCATTCATCCACACACACATACATACATACATACACACACACACACACACACACACACACACACACACACACACACACACACACACACACAGAGTTTAGGTGAATAGATTGATATGGGCATAATCGTTAACACACAAGCAGAAACACGCATACACGCACACACCTTTCATGCTTAAATGTGATTGAACAGAGCACAAAATCAGAAACAATTAAACAATTCTTGTTGTTGATGGTAAATTGGCCTTTCTGTATCTATTGGTCTGCTGGGTTCCTTATCTGGGCTGACTATATATCTTCACTGTAAGTTACCAGTGGTCTTACTCTTCTTTTAGAGATGTAAATCCTGAGAGTTAATCCCCTCCTTGGAATTATTAACCAGGTGCAATCATGAGATTCCTTGAATGTTCTACCATACACAAGGTTTTTACCCATGAAATAATACAGGTACACAACCCGCACCTCATCTGATAGGAATTTTGGCAATGGGAGAAATGAAATAGTATGTTGAGTAAGGCATGCTTGGAAAAATGTTGTCACAGAATATGTATTTTGGTTGTGCTACACAACCTTATGGGTTCAATAATCTGATTTTAAACAAAAAAAGAAAAAAAAAATCTGCCGTTAAGTGTTTTTCCTGTCAAATTAATCAGTTAATGATCAATTCAATATTTTGTAATATTTAGTAAATTTTGAGTATTATTGAATAATTCCTGGAAAAAAAATCAATTTTTTGCATGTGTGTGTATGGCTTTAATGTATGTATATTAGGTAAGAGTTATCTAATCAACTGATTATTTCAAAACTTCCATTGTTTTCCACCCCAGTGACTCAGCCCTCAAACATGCTAAATGGTTTCAGAGTGACGACATGACTTTCATTATGCAGCTTATCTGTGGTGTTGAAATAAACCGTAGGAAATCAACAATTACTGGGAATTGATCTTTTTAAATATTCACGTATGTTGTTACCACCACTCAAGTTCTAATGAAATAATAACAATGCATACAGCAAGCATTAGGCGCTTGGCCGTATATTGATTTTTGTCAAGGAAGCCATTAAGGGAGGTCTGTTGACAGGTTTTTCAGCTAATACACTGTGGGTTGGTGCTAATGATATAATATTACCAAAACTAAACAGCTGTGACGTTCGCATCAACACTGATTGATTTAGTTGAAGTTGCATCAAGTAGTTTCCTATTTCATGGTCTTATCATCTCTAAACACCATTGTGTATACAAGCTGTAAAATAATTATTCTCTAGGAGCGGTTCCTGAGTAACAGAAGAACCTACCATATGCTTTTCTATGCAATGAAATTCTGGGTTTACATATTTCAGCTATCAGTTTTTGTGATTGAAAACCATAGGGAGAGCTATATTGAACAAAGGCCATAAACAGACATTTTTTTGAATCAAGAATTGAAACGTGAAAAATTAAAGTTTGGAATATTTTGTTTTTTATCAATTAAATATTTTGTGCTCATTATTAAACTAGCTGAAAGTATTAAAATGAAATGTAAAATATGCCAGTGCTGAATTTTTTTGTAAGAATGTTGTATGCTATAAAAAGAATTTTTATTTTATTATTTTTTTAGTGTAATCGTGATTTCTTATGTATTTAAGAAGCATTTCTGGCCAGCAGATAGTATATTGAGTCACATAAATGGCACCTCATGGCTTAGGGATATTTTGTATTGACAATAATTGCGACAATTTCTAGTTCTCTCAGCGGACAGATTTATTCAGCATTAAGTATGATTGTTTTCCTTCTCCACAGATGCTATTTGAAAATCATGACGGTTGAAAATTGCACTCGGGTGGTAATCAATTATTGTGGAACAACGTAAAGTACGTTGTCCATGCTTTCTCAACCTTGACCATGGTTCAGATAAAACCTCATAAGCCCTATCCCCCAGGATTTATTCCTCTCGGAAACGGAAGCCGGTGTTTCTTTGAGTATTCTTTTCCACATTAGTTAGGTATTGATTTTACATGGCCGCCAGATCTTGACAGGCAATGGCCTGCAGCTTTCATTAGATCAAGCCAAGTCTGCTGGTATTTATACTGATAATGCTCTCAGAATAGAAAGATAATAAGTAGTTATTTTCTATGTGTGGGAAGTACACAGAGTGAAGGGGCAATGAATATTTATAGTGTTTGGCCAAAGATTTTCCCAGAGCTACCTGGTCACAATGAATTAGTGCCATTAGAAACATGTCCTGTAAAGCTGAAGAAAGAATGTCCACATACATCTATATCTATATATTATATATGTGACACCCTTTGAAAATTTATATTTTATCTACACTTATTTGTCTGTACCTGTAGATTTAATGATGGCTAATTATGGTCACAATTGTGGAGCTACCACCTTAAATGGGGTGGCATTTGGAGCCCAAGTACCCCTCCACCCTGGGGAATGACACTGGTTAATATTCTCCCCCCCCCCCATACCAATGTTTATTTGAACTACCCTCCTCCCCCCCTTTTCCACAGCAGAACACCAGATATATATTTTCACTGCATTACTAAACATTTACCTAACATCACTGCATGTTGTCTGCATATGAAAAAATATTCCTAACAAAGTGAAGTGATTATAATAATGTGGAATGTATGCACCATCTCCATGGAGATTAATAGACAAAAAAAGCATAGGAACAATTGGCTTTGATCGTTGTGGAAACTGTAACATGATGCAAGGTGGCCTAGCTTGTAGTTGCTTTCCTGACTAATTTTGTATCTCTGAGGAGATGCTGATGGCAAGTTTCTTTGAGTCATGGCGTTGTGGCGGGTGTTGGACTCTGTGGCTTGGCATGTTGTTAGCAAATGACACAAATCGGGAGCATTGCAATGAAATAAATAATTGATGATTTTTCTCTACTTTGTATGATAATGGTATTACAAGTTGCAATGAGGTGGACTGTTGATATGGACTAATAAGAATGGTTAATATTTCAAAGTGAAAAAAAAAATAAATAGAAGTATGTTGATTTCTTTATACTTACTATGTTAATGTATTTATTTAGTAATCAAAATTGGTAACATTCTGTTATAGATAATTGCTTCTTTTCCCTGAAGTAATTTCACTGTCTCTGTCTGTCTTTCTATTCATCTGTGTTTACACAATCTATTTATACATACGTATACATACATACATATAGATTTGAGGTTAAAGTGATGTATTAAAGTGAATTATGCAATTATTATGTATACAGTTTTCCTACTTTCAGAATCGAGGAAGGAGGAGGCATCAAAAAAAGAGAGTGTTGACAAAAAAAGCAACAAAGAAGAAAGCACCAAGAAAGATGTACCTAAACCAAGTGAGATTAAAATGGCTAACAAAAAGTCTGTGAAGAAAGATCTAGAATTTCAAAAGCCTAATGAAGTACACATAGAATCACATACAGTTGATCTTCATTCTGTGGAGGAAGAAAAGACATCTGACCACCATCGACATAACAAGCACCATTCCAAAAAAGATGACACAAAGTCTAAGAAAAAGGAAAAGAAGGAGAAAAACAATAAGGACTCTGTAGAAAAGGTCCATCACGACAGCCCCAAAGATCAGCCCTCACTTTCGTTGAAAATGAACAAGATGCTGAAAGAGCAGAAAATGGAAAAAGCTCAAGCGAAAGACTTTGCTGTAGTCTATGCTGTCTGTACAGAAGAAGACTACAAGAGCTTCAAAGATGCTGTAGTGAAATATCATTGCAAAAGGATGGAAATAGACTGCAAAAACAGTAAGTGTGTTAGGTGTGCCAATATGAGTGGGAAAATGTGTTGGTTGTAACTGTGTGATAGCTGACATTGGATTTTTTGCGCACACAATTGTGAAATTTTCTTTTTAATTAAATATTATAATATGAAATTTTGATATCAGTAGTAGCAGCATGGTTCAGATCTGTTGTGCTTTTTGTATTTAAAACAAAATTTGAAATGGACCTTATATAAAAAATGGTGATAACAACTTAAGCAAAATTCAGACTAAGCCTTTATGCTAGAAATTAAGTCCTTCATAAGCCAAATAATTACATCAGCAATGTCTAATGCAGTTATAAAATCATTTCTTTTTTGCTTATCCTGCTAGTTCCTTTAAATCAAAAATTTGTTTCATGTTTTTTTTCTCTATAATATTGATCATCATTTTTCTACAGCTATATACAATTATTTGCAGGAAAACAGTTGCTTGGTAACTTGATGTTTGCTTATTATGACGCCGACTTAGATGGCGTCTTAGTGGAAAGTGAACTGGCAGCCATTCACAAGAGGGATAGTCTGGACAGTCTGACTGACAGTGGCTGTAAACTGACCGACCTCCTGGTATTTGACAACAAGGACAGCAAGGCACATGAAATGTCGAATGCAGAGTTTTTTACAGCTTTTGGTAAGTCCATGTGAACATGTATGCGTGTGTGTTTATGAACAGAAATTTTATGTTTGCTGAAAAATGTGGTTTGAACAAGGTAAAACATAAAAAAGGAAATAATAGATAAATATGACACACAAAGATGCACGCACATGCACACACACACTCAGTGTGTGTAAGAGAGAGAGAGAGAGAGAGGTACTTAATGTGTATCCTTCTATTAGTAATCATATTTCATTATTCAGCCCAGCCTGATATCACAGTGGTATTTTTGTATTCTCTTATCCATCAGCATGCCATTAACTGACTACATCATGCTTTGGTATTGATTCCAAGAACTTGTTTAAGATGGGTTTCTCAGGAGAGGCCTTGCCTGAACTTTACATTGATCTTAAAGGTGAACAGTCTGTTTTTTGTTTTTTTTCTTTTTCTTGAGCTTTTGACCAATGTTGTATGTTCATATTTGTGTAGTTTAAGCCTGCACATATCATTCAAGAGAACAAGTGTACAAATCAGACAGCAATGTTTGAGTAGGACCAATAAAAAAAAAAAGTAATAAAAAAAGCAAATTCACAAATTACAGGGAATTGATTTTTGCATCATGTGTGCGTGAAACATTCTTCTTGCTTTGCGTGAAGTTAGAATACCTTCAACAGGGAGTAAATTGAATCAGAAGTGCAGAGATGAGATGCAGTGGCAAGATTGACAAGCCTGTCGCCATAAATTGATTATTTTGAAAGCAATTTTAATGTTGCCTGGAAATTGCAAGTTCCTGGTGGTAGAGATAAATAATGTGATTAACAGTCACATAGCAAAAATCATGATGAGCACAGTGCCTGCTTTGATTAGAACAACAGTTCTAGGATGCATAATTTTGAGATAAAGCAAATATTTGTAAGATATTGGCATTTTAATGAAAGAAATTATGCATTAGCGTCATGTTACAGTTTGGGTAAATAGTAGGTAATGGAAATAAATCTACATCTATTTCCTTAGAGTGCCTTATATGGAAAATAAAAAAAAATTGATTGAAAAAAAATTTATTCTCTCTCCAAAGTGTAAGATGGTTGGAAAAACCAGTAAAAGGTGTCTGCATCTGCACAGAACACAAGGAGACACAATGTGGCCATATTCATATGCCTCTTATTTGGGGACTTAAAATTTTTGGTACTTTAATTCAGGACTAATCTGTTCTAAATCAATGAGATAAGGAACCTTTTGGTCTCCGACATTTTTTATCTGTTTTTCCGACATTTTTTATCTGTAAAACAAGCACAACATAGTATTGTAGTTGACTATGTATATGTACTTCTTAATCAGGGGCGGATTCAGAGATATTTTCTGACAGTCTTCCAAATTATCTTTGTTGATCCATTGTTCATTTTTGACCGTCTTCCGACAGAAAAAATTAGATACCCGTCAATGTAAACTTGAAAATCTGACCGTCTTCCAGAAGACCCAGAAGACAGCCTAAATCCACCCCTGTTAATTATCATGGGTCATAGTTGACTAAAGATGTTTGTCCTAAAGTTGAGACCAGCTATCAGTCTACAGTTCTCCTATGAAACAGTCTTGTTAGTACATGATGTACAGTAGAGGAGAGAGGCTGTGGATATCATCAGGATGGCTCACAGTTACTGAGTCATTGAGGAGATCTATTACTCAGCTAACATCATGTATCATTCCTTGCAGGCCAAACTGATAGGAGACTTATTGAATTGGCTGGAGTTCTATGCTTAGATCTTCTCAACATTATGTCTTGGATTCAGCTTTGATAACTAAATTGACCAGAGGTTTTTCTTGACTTAATTCACCCTCCTCAACATGATAATTCCATATTTTGATCTGACAAGATTTACACACCATGATGTCCTAATTTCAGGCTCATTACTAGCTAACAAGATAGCTCGATGCAGCATTTTAATTCATAGTGCTCCTTTCATAAGCGGAGATCTAAATCATTCAATTTCCTTCACTGAATGCGAATATCATGAGTTTTTGTCATTCTTGGAAATCCATTTGATGCCCAGTAGAATTTGGAGGGTGATTATTTTATACTAAGCATGGTTTAAATGTCATAGTCCATTTTCTCATCACATATATTAGAACAACACATGGAGCCCCAGGGAAGCACATTAGCAGTGTGTTCAGGGGACAGATTTTCTTGGAAAATATTTTACTTGCCCTTTGTGAACATCTCTGAATTTGTTAGATTTTAGTTTACAGAGAGTAGGGCAACTGTATGTTAATACATTTCACCATGATAACACTTTAACACAGGGAGTTGCCGTCATGACAGTACTAAAACTGCATAGAACTATTGTTGGACATTGTATTAACAATAGAATAACACTTAGATTGGAGTCTGTCATAAATAATATGTACATTAATAATATGATTAGGATGTGTAGATATGACAGTTCTATAAATTTAACTGTTATTATGTTAACTTTTAGACCACTGTAAGCCCCAGAGATTTCTGGAATGCGGAAAGTGAAAGTTATTTCCCAGTTTTGTTTAGAACTCAGGGTTGTACCCCTGGGAACCCCATTTGGCTGTGTCACCAGGACGTGGGTGAACATAATATCACATTGTTAAATTTGATAAAGATTTTCTTTGGAACATGTGGTTTTTTTAACAGAAATTGCCTTAAAAAAGACTTGGAATTTGGGGACCACAATATGATGCGGTCTATAGGTTAAAGGATGCTGTTTTTGAAAAAAAATATGATTTAGATTGAAGGATACTATGATCAGAATACTTACGATTAATTAAGTATTCTGATATACTTTAGCATTAAGATTGGCTTCTTTGCTTAAATTCCACTAAACGGATGAGAACATAAGATGATAAATTGGCCCTTTTTTTCCTGGCAGTTTTGATAAAAACTGAACACCTGGGAATGAATCGACCAACAGATGTTTATGAATGATCATTTGTTATTAAGCACATTGCATCCCTTCAGGGTAAAGGTTCTAGGTAGTATTTTTAGAGCATCCGTAGCATTTGCCTTGCAAGAATTCTACTAATTTCTTACGGCAAATTAAAAACAGCAGCTGATTTGGAAAAAGTGCTTCGCTACTAACAAATAAAACATTTGCCTTGCAAGAATTCTACTAATTTCTTACGGCAAATTAAAAAACAGCAGCTGATTTGGAAAAAGTGCTTCGCTACTAACAAATAAAACATACGTGGAAGCTACTTCATTTGTTGAAGACCGAGAGAACACATGTAATTTTGATTTATAGAACTTTGTAATTTACTGTTATTTACAGTTGATTAGATTAAAGGAATTTATAATTATGTTATTAAAATTAGCAATGTGCTTTACTTTGTATAGAGGTCACAATCTTTTTTTTTTTTTTTTTTTTTTTTTTTTTTTTTTTTTTTTGAAAGAGCAAGATTTCACAAGAAATGTTTGCAGTTGGAAACCTAAGCAAGGAGCAATGACTCACCATTGATTGTAAATCTGTCCAAAAAGTAGCAATAAAGATTTTGGTTAATGAAACAGGAGTAGTAGGAGATAAATATGCCTACAACTTGAGATGTTTTGGGCACATCTAAACAGAGAATAATACACATCATTGGCTGTTCTAGTATGGGATTTCTTGGAGATTTTTATGGCAATTACCTCTCTGAATGACCCAGAGTTTCAGTGATTGCAGGAAATTAACCTGTGTTATCAGCTTGGCTTGTTTCCTGGAAGCTATCAAACACATAATGGAGATAGGGCTTTCATAATCTTTGAAACCCAGGATGCCACTTACAGATGTTTACCAGAAAATAAGCATATTAATTTTTGGAAATTTGTTTCAAAATAAAAGGAATTATAGTCTCAAAGTATACAAATTGACTCTAATTACAAGATCCTCATTTCAGTAACCCTTTCCCTTCAAGTTTCATTTGAGCAACAGACAAGAAGTTTGCATACAGAGAAGTGGGTTACGAGTAGGATGTCTCAGATTATGTAGCCCATCTTTGCAAAAAGTTGATGGGCCCTGCATTAGAAGTGCCTCCTTCTGGTGGCCAGTTGGCAGGCGGCTTGGGCTGAGAGTGAGTGGTTAAGGTGGTGTCCGGTCTCAAATAGTGTTGGTTAATGTTTCTCCATTCTCTAGAGACCCATCTATTATTTATATTCAAAGCATTGATTTCCATGGATAATACTTCCAGGGAAGCAAATATGTATTTTCATTAATAGTTTACTGACAAAATGATAAAGCGACTTTAGTCACATTGCATTGATCAATTTCCCTTCCATTCAGTTTTCATCCTACTTTTTATCTTTCTGTTACCCTTTTTGAACATATATCAGCTTCTTACCTTTGAAGCTGTAAAATCCATTAGCTGTAGCCATAATGAGAGAGATAACTGTGTGGGTTATCTGAAATGAAAGACGCATTAGTGCATAGACACATTAATAGTTAGCCTTGGTTGCCATGGAAACGGAAATTATTCCAGCTTCTAAGATGTGGTCTGATCAAAGTTGAAGTGGTGCTTTTGTGAGAATTATATTCAGCTCACAAAAGGAGCAAGTTGTTTTTATCCCTGGTGGCATTTGGAAGCATGATGTGGAATGTATTGTCATTCCAGAACAGCATTATTCACTCAGTTATATTGTGACCATTTTTCATGTCCATGATGATTTCTCATAAAGTAGTATTGAAATACAACCACTGTAGGTCATTAGACTGCTGTGGTAATCTAAAATGAGATTATATGTTACCTTGGAAAAATATTACTCACCTGTGACTATTTTTAATTATAAATTTCTGTTTAAACACGCAGATCGAATGCATTTTTCTTATTCATAATTGATACACTTTGAATCATGGTCTAGCTGTCTACATAGGTCTGCCATGGGCTTACTCAGCACTTGCAAAAAAAAAAAAAAAAAAAAAAAAAAAAAAAAAAAAAAAAAAAAACAGCAGATTATAAATGAACAGAGTTGGAAGTGTTGTGGTTGTCAAGTTTTCTCAAATGTAGAGACTGGGGTAGAGTTAACACTCACCCATTTAGCCAAATGCTAAAAATGACTTCAATTGGCTAAGCAAAAAGGGCTTGATATGACTTGTTTTAGCAAATTATAACCATTTGGATAACAAATTGACAAAAAAAGTGGTGATTTGGCTAAGCGAAAAAAATTGCTAGTGCCACCCCAGAGAGACACAATGTTCTTTCTTTTTCTTTCTCTCCCTCTCTTCCTCCTCTCTCCCTCTCTTTCTGTGACATGACATGGAGGCATTGCAATGACACTCTATACACAAATCTTTTTCATTCTTCTTTATTTTGAGCAAATGCCTGCTTGGAGCATTGTATTTGTAAGCCCACTCAATCTTGTAACCACTAGAATTTTTTTACCTTTATTTGTGTGAGAAGAGTCGTCAGAGTCTGGAAGTCCATCAATAGATTTAAAATAACTGTACATATTACAACAGGATGTCTTATAATCTGCATAAACCTTTAGAACAAGTGTTTTTCATGTTTTAGACAATAAAATAACACCAAATATACATAATAGGGAATCTACAGTCAAATATTAGATTACAGAGAAAATAGGTTGGCACTCTTTACTCTTCTACATTGGCTGCCTTGTCAAAATTGATACTTGATAATCTGCAGTCTTTTCATATAATTAGATCAGACGGGAGAAATACGACTTGGATTTCTAACCTCCAGAGAATATGGCTTAATTTAACCTTTGAATCATTAAGTTTGCACTTGATTCCTTTGGAGTCTTTCTAATGTGGTTTTCTTGAAATTACCACAAGTATATATTTAAGTTATCAAATCATGCACATTTGTCAAGTTAAGTCTGGGTTATATTACAAAAGGAGCACATTTTTTCGCTTTGGCCCTTACTTAAATTGTACTGAATTCACATGAAAAAAAAGAGCAATGGTACTTACGCTGTGTTTTCATAAATTAACTGTACTGTATTGTTTTAATTATTTTCTTATAACTACGGGCCTTGCTCCTTTGTTTAGCCTAGAAGATACTAGTATTTGCTTCTCAGAAATTGATATTGCACACTGCATTTGACCTGTGCTCTTGGTTTTATTGTTGAAAAAATGTTTCTTGGACTGGTTCCATAGAATACTTTCTGGCCGAGAGTTAAGAGTGAAATATTGGCCTTTTACTGACCTTTTTGTTTCAGTTTTATATAAAACAGCCTGATTATGTGACCAGTTTCTCTATTTAATGTCGGACTTATTTGAGATTTCTTATCCAGATGTTTTACATAAGAAGAAAATATGCTTGTAAAATATGCTGTATAAAATATGCTTGATATGTTCACAGACATTCCAACAGTCCACTTGGACGAGGACATGAAGACGTTCACATATCAGGCATCTGTTGGGGACAAGAATGGACTACAGCTGAAGTGTGGTATCCAGGGTGCCAGGGATATCATATGGAAGAGAAATGGTGTGGATCTAAAGAAATCTACTATAGAAGATGTTGAGGTGAGTTGAGATTTGTTACACCTAACACATTATTAAGACTCACTGTCACACGTTTAACACACTGTCACATTTTACACACTATCACATTTAACACTCTTCTGCTGAATAGTAGGCCCCAGTTTTACAAAGGTACATTAGTCCAAATACTTTTAAAAACTTAAAAGATCTGTGTACATATCAGAATTACTTAATTTGGCTCATCTCAAGCCCAATTCAACCCAAGCTTGATCCAGGTAGTCAATCAACAAAAACAAAACAGCATAAAAAAATCTAAACACAATTCAGTTAGTATAGCCCAAAAATTGTATTTTATCTCACAGGTTCTCCAGGACCACAGCTTGTATATAGGGGCAGTGGGTCTCCACCACATGGGCAACTATAGCTGTCTGGACTGGACATATAAGGGGATTGTACAGACACATGTCCTTAAGGTCCAAGGTAGATCTTTTATTTCTTTTTGATATAATATTCAAAATGTAAACTACTCCCCCATGGAAAAAAAAAAAGAATTACACACAGTGTAATTTATTAATTTTACACAGGTGGTAGAGTATGTAAAAGGGTACAGATTTTAATCCTTTTTATAAGATTCACTTCCACAGATTATAACAAGTACATTGATGTACATTTCAACAGCACTATGGTTGATTCTTATAAGTCAAGAAAAATGTTAAAAACTTTAGCTGTATGAGTTTAGACATTTTCAAAGTAATATATTCATACACTTTTTTGTTCTGAGATAGCTCATATATACCCTTAGTACTGTTATTATATATAGCTATATTTTAGGACTATAAAACAGTGAGAAAAATTATTTCATTTTATCAAAGTAAAGTATTTTTGCCCATTCTTTGTATTGTATTCATTGAATTGATTTAAAGCACTTGTTTTTTATATATTCTAAATACTATACTTGTTATATTCTGATCTAGCTGCCCCAGAGGTACAGGTGACACCATCTACACAGTACTACAGAGCAGGCTCTTCCATTAGTATTAAGTGTCACGCTGACGGTATCCCATCACCTGTCCTCTCCTGGGAGGTTAACGAGACGCCAATTATACTGGATCCAGAACACAAACATTATGCTACATTTTGTAAGGAGACTTGAGTGTTGTCATTTGCCTGTGAAAAATAATTTTCATCTATTTAATTGTCGATTTTCCTGGATTAAAACATATTTTGTGCATCTTTTTTTGTTTATAACTTAGATGGCCATAATGCAAATGTATTTTGAAATGTTCAAAAGACACATTATTTACTAAATAACATACAATTTTCCCTGTAGTTGTTAGATCCAATCTTATTCTCTTCCAGATAATAACCAAACCCTACAAATCAGCAAGGCAGATGCCACCAAGGACACAGGAGCCTACAAGTGTCTGGCCAAGAACTCTGCTGGACAGGGACAAGACATAGCCACCATTTTTGTAGGAAACTCTGATGAACATTCTTACAGAGGTTTGTATATACTTACTAGTGTGAAATTTGGACCAGATTGTTGAGGGAATCTAGCTGAGATTTGTATATACTTGCCAGTCAGGAAACTTGGTGAATTTGAAAGCATCTTATTTCCACCTTAAGCAATCTGCTTCCAAACACAATATGTCACTTAAATATTGTCTCACTTAACACAATCTGCTCTCTCACCTAGAAAATACTTTTTCCAGGTAATTTACAGATAACACCTTTTCATACTTTTGCACATCCAAACACAATGCCTCAACCAATACAATCTGCACCTTTTTTTTTATCTCACCCAACACATTATACCTTTATCTCACCTAACACAATCTGCTCCTCTTTCCAGGTAACCATCATTATGAAGTGTTTGTGGTGTTCCACAGTGAGGGCTACCATGTCTTCCACCCAGACTCCTGCTCTCTGGTCCACCTCATCAAGGGAGACTACAAGGAGTTCAAGAAGGACGCCATGAACACGGCCACTGTGCCAGAGACCCTGTGCCAGCTTGGTGTCCCCTGCACCTGGGGAGCAGCAGTTAATGTGAAGAATAGATATGTTTATGCCAGTCAGCCTGAGCTGAACAGGGTGGTGGTGATTGACATAAAGGGTGGATCCAATCCAGTGCAGGTAGGGACTGCTGGATTATTTGTGTGTTGGTTGTGTTTTGTAAAAAAAAAAATCATCTTCGGCATTTGGCAAAATTGACAAAAGAGGGTGGATTTAATGACATTTCAGAAAGTAAAACTTTTCATATAGTTACTTTAGTAGTTATTTTTCATGTAGTTACTGTGAGATTGATTGTAGCTGTAAGTTGAAAGAACAGTTATAGATGTTTAACTCCTGGAAATGTCCCTTAGGTAGAAAGCACTTTGCACCTTGTTAGTGCAACCATGACAAGCTTTCGCTTTTACATAAGATTCTGTGTACCATGTGTTTACTTATCAGTGAGTGCATCGTAAACACTTTTTAGTGTGTGTGTTTTCCATATGCCATGTGTTACCCACTAAGTATGTGTCATTGTTCTTTCCATTGACAGGTCATCCCCACAGACTTCACCCCTGTGGAACTCCAGTATGTGGAACACCTGGATGAGGTGTGGGTGCTGTGCTGGAACTCCAAGGAGAACACCAGTTCCAAGACAGTGGTGGTCATCAGGAAGGCCAGCGAGGAGGATCCACACCATGCAGTACACACCCGGCCAGTGGGTGACCGGTTTGACCTGGTATGTATGATTTGGACACATTTTCCCTGGTATGTACACAATAACTCATCACCCTGTATACATGAGCCTCAGTTGCAGACAAGCTAGACCTGGTCTGTACAACTTAAATTATTATTCTGTACATGAGAAGATTATGAGAAATGGGTGCAACCTTGCATGTATATACTTTATGCTCAACCTGTGTAGGTGCATGTAGCAGACCATTTTAAAAATATTTTCATCAGTTTATTGCACTTTTGCTGTTGAATTAACCCAACTTTGGGAGAGGATAGGGGAGATATAATCGTGAACAAAGATAGATAACATGCCTCTCCATGTTACATCTCTTGCAGGTTCAGAACATCTTCTTGCCCACAAAGAATGACTTCAACCATCACTTTGACTATGGTTATGTGGTTCACAATGAACAGCAAGGTCTACATAAGATTCACTTGAAGACCATGAAATATGTCAAGACTGTTGACTTCACAAAATACTCTTGTGTTCCCCAGAACCTGGCTTTTGTTCCTCTAGGTTTGTATTCTTTGGAGTAATTATTTCATGTTAGGAAAAAAGGTTTAAATTTGTGAACTTCAGATATATGTTATAAAAGGACTGAAAGCTTTTAGCCCTTCTGTGAATTTTATTCATAATTTAAAATCTTTAACCTGTTATATTATAAAACTTCCACTTGATTATTATAATTATTATTGTCATTAGTTTATTTTACACAAATCTATATTTTCATTCAATACATCATGGTTTGTGAAAGTTGTAGATGTAATTATAAGTTGTTTGAAGGACTAGCACAAAAATTTTCATTTGGATATATTTTTTCATTTGGATATGTTTTAACCTTTATGAAGTAAACAAAGGGTGAGACAGGTGCTGTTTTATTTTGAATTGATGCAGCATTGTGTTGAACAAGCATAAATGTGTCTGTTCCCCACCAGGTGGTTACGTGGTTGTAGACTGCAGATCCCCTGCAGGGAAACCCCCTCAGGAGAAACAGCTCCTCATGGACTACATTACCGATGCTGTCATTAATGAGAGAGATGTCATTGGACAGCCATACGTGTCACCAGACAGTAGATACATTGTTAGTGTTGACAACAAGGAGCAGTCCGTGACTATACAGAGAGTCAGTGATGAGGGTATGGCCTGATATCTTTATCAGTTATTTTAGTGAAATGTTTAGATTATGTTTTATGTGGTTATATTGGGTGAATATATTAAAAAATATATGTATAATAATGCAAGTCATCAAGGTACTTAGTGACAAGCAGGTGTAAAACATGAGTGGATGTCATGTACACCTTACTGACAAGTGTTGTAACTGAGACTCATACCCTGTGTGTCATAGGTGTATTTGAAGTACACCATGTCTCGGTCTACAGTCTCTAACACACAGGTCAAAGTGATCAAGACTTAATGAATTGGGGATTTTAGTGAATGGTTTAGATTATCCTCAAATACATTATATTGAGTGATTTTTCGAAAATGACCAGAACTTGGACTTTTAAATTGAAAAAAGATATCCCTTGTACTATATGATTATGCTATTACCCAGCGTTTATAGCATTTAACACAAAGAAGATTCACAGAACAAAGAGGAAGCATTGGTATTGCTATGTGTTTATGAACTCTGATTATTATTTTAGGTCAAATCACCTATGGGTTTAAGAGGTTCACTGGGATGAGGCTAAGTGATGTGGCTTTCTACCCGTCACTTGATGGCAAAGGCTATGACATGTTTGCCACATCTAAAGACCATGCAGACATGTTGTTCTTGGACCTTGAAGGCCTGAGGATGGAAGTCATAGAAGGTACTTTTAAAAATGGCTTTAATAGTATTCTGACATACCATATAGTCCTATTTGTGGGTTTAGATTCAGTTAAACCTCCCTGACAAAGCTTTCAGATTTTTCAAAGAACTCTTTCTTTGTAGGTGATTTTTGAAACTGGAACCCCAGTTTTGACACCTTTTATCTTCTCTTGTATTGGAGCCACATTTAATTACACTGGATAGGATGGAATGCGGTGTTGTTATATTGTACAAAATAAAGAAAATCATGGGAGTGGGGGGTTAAGTTAAGCCATTCTGACTGACAGTTGCCGATCTTGTGCCAACCATACAGTCTGCTAGTCAATTTGAATTCCAAGACTACATTCTTTATTATGAAAGTTTCCCTTCAGAAAATTCTGATGGTCTCAAGGATTTCACATAGAGCTTTAGTGACTGTGAAAAAGGACAATTTATAGAAACATTTGGGTAGCATTGTAAATTATATACATATAGTCACTGACAAAGTATTCCTTTTTTTACGAAAAAAATTATGTAATGAACCAAATTACTAAAAAATGTTCCACTTTGTTATGTTATATTTTCACCCAGGTATTGGAGAAACTGCTGCGGAGGATAAGTTTAAGTGGGGCACCAAGAACAGAGTGATCACCAGCGGCGGAGTGTTTGGGGATTACTTGATGTCTCCCTCTACAAAAGCAGCGGTGATTATTGATGGTCGAAACCACCATGTGCACTGTGAGTGGCCCAATATTAAGGACAGCGCTGTGGTGGTGTGGGTGGAGCCAATGCATTTGTGAAGCAGACGACACTTTTGAAGCAGATGACACTTGTCCTGCTGACATTTGGAAGACAGATTCTCACAAGAATTCTAGAAAAAAGGGTGTAAATTTTCTGAAAGGAAAGCCAATGCTATCAAAAGAGAGGACTATTCCAGAATTTTTCTCTTGACAGAGTGTAGATAGAGATGCCTTTTAATGGTCACAAATGATCTTCATCAGACATTCGTGTGTTAATGTCTCTAATATTGATGTAATATATAACAAGTATGTATCAGCACTGAGCAAGACTAACAAAAGTACCTTCCTTTCCATGGGCTTAGTGACCCTAACCATGATAATACTAAGCCATCACACCAAATACAAACTGCCATATCTAACGCAGTGTCACAGCTAACACATTTATACAGTATTTATAGGATAAATATTCCAAGCCTGATAACAAGGAAATTATAATTAAGAAAACTTTCTCAGTCTGTGTTCAAGTAGATGTTGTATTCGTGAATCACCTTGATGGTTTTATGCTTTAGTAAGGCTCATTTAAGTGAGAAATTACAGAATTAATACCTCCTTGGGACATGCTGAGACCCAAACATGGAGTGAGACATGTTGAGAATTCATATACATATCAAGGTAGGCACACAACGATAGTTTCTTTAGAACATGCTAAACTTACAGTGTGTTGTATGCTTATATTTATTCTCGTATTTATCGTGTGAAGAAATCCAAAAATTGTCAGGGTTAAAATCCACTCAAGGTTCAGAATTGTGAAATCCAGTTACTGATATTATTTGCAGTCTATTTGATTGGTATCTGATAAACCCCTGCTATTTCTAAGAGCTGCAAGGGTGTTTTATGTAGGCATCTAGTTCTTCACTAAGACAAGTCACAAAGCCTTTTGTAATTTCCTTCTTTTTGCAATTATCTGAGAAGAGATGTATTTGGAATACCTCTTAATGTTCATCCACAATGAGAATTGATCATGTCTGATGTAATGGATTTTCTTTTACTGGTCCTAAAAATGAAGAGAATAAGATCAAAGAGGAGAAAGGATTGGTCAGGATGCTATTCTTTATTGTAGAATGAGATCTGTGCATTTTGTAGTGGGAATCGCAATTTGTTGAAGAAATCAGAGTGTAGTCATAGAGTTTGTTTCTAAGCCTGCAATATTTGCTCAAGATGGATATGATGCTCTCTGTTTCTCATCTTTTCAGGGTTAATCAAGAGAAATCCCATTATTTCCTTCATTTGCAATGAATGGTTTAAGTATGATAATTGAGTAGAGACAATTTACTTGACTGTTACAGTATATCTTTGTTGTATCTGTGAATGCAGATTTTCATAACCTTACAGAGCATATTAATATGTGCACATAGCTTTGTAAATTTGTTTGAACTCTTTAATGTGCTTTAGAGAAGTCAGCTTTCACCTTGTAAGACTTTATACAGTGTAGCTGAGATAGCATAGTGTTTAAGTTGTTATTGGTCTTTTTTTTTTTTCAAAAGGCTTATACATGTATACATGTTTTTTATTGTTTTGTTAACAAAATCTCTACTAGTCGGTGCTTATATTATATCATTATTATGATATCTCTATTTTGTAACAGTGGTTTGTGTTCCGAGAGAGACAGAGAGAGCACAATTCATGCCAGGTATGCATTTAAAATTGTACAGTGTAGGATCAGTGTAGCTATGTAGATGTGTCTGTAGTGTTTTTTATGTGGTGAAGGAGTTGATTATGAGTACTACCTGTCCATGTGTCCTAGGTAGTGGACCAGTAGATTTGGCATTATTTTAAAGGATTATTCTAAGGATTATTCAAAGGTACAGCAATGACTCAATCTTTTCAGTGGGCAAAAATTATCAATCATTCAGATTCACAATTTTAGAATCATAGTAATTATATTTCTGTATAGCATATGTGGTGCTTTTACTGCATAGAGCTATAGGGTAGTGTGCTTTTCAATTTTATTGCTACAACTCAATAGGAATGAATGTTCTAATTTTAAGATATGATGTTATAGCTTATATATATATAGTATCTGTAAAATTCACAATTTTCCTCCATTGAAAAGATGGAATCATCACTGAACTCATTGGATCTTGAAATTTAGGGTGTATTTATTATCTATAAATCTCCTTTTCAATCTGCTTAATTTTGTTTTGGGGTCTTATAGTCCAAATGATCAGTGGACTATAACTTTGAAAGTGCAGATTGATTTACCATTGATATTTATGTAGTAGTATTTGTCAGGCACTGGTAAAGAAAACCTTTTGAGTTTTCAGGTTTTGTATTGATTGCCTTCTGTGTAGACATACTAGACATTTGGTCCTATGTAGGCAAGGAAGTATTGGATTGTGCAGATGTCATGTGACCTCTGATATAAAGGTGAAAGATATCTTGAGAGCTTCTAAATATGTGTGGTAACATGTAGAAAACAAGGGAAATATTCCACTATGTGCTTGTGTAAATGATTTTAGTATAGTAACATTTGAAAAAATTTATTTAGTTAATTATGTAGCCTTTCTTCCCACCATACACAATTTTCCTGTTAAACAGGAGGATTAGGAAACTTTAAAATTGGGAGAATAAATAATTTTCTAGTCAAGAATCATATCACAGAATCGAGAATGAGGCTTTGTTTTAAAAGGTATTGTTTTGATAAATGTTCTCACATTTTGAAACTTTTATTTTCTAGTATTAGGCCATTCCACAGATTTCCCTGCTGTAAATTCTTTTGTGTACAAATATGTGTTAGCAGGCATTTCATTTTTTCTACTCTAATTGTTTGCATTATTTTGAGAAAAATGGTTGTCTTTCCACTCTTTTATAAGAACTAGTGGGGCAAATTAGGCCAGAAAGGGAAAACACTGTGGAGTGGCCATAAAGAGATATAAATTTAGATATTATCAATTTCTTTTTAAAGATGTGAATGCTATGTATTGTACATTTATTTACCCCAAAATGTAAAGTCCCAGTATGTAATTTTTTTATGGGTCACTTCTTATCACCAAGAGCCTGTGTCTCAAATTTTGACTGATGTGATTTTAGGTGTCAGACTGGAGACATATCCCACCTTTAAATGGCCAAAATAATATGTACCACCAATAACTGCCATATCCCTATGATCGTTTTACTAGGCATAATTTTACTAACAGCTTTTTTTAACCATTTAGTTTTAAAAGCCGTATTATACTTAAGTACATGTGTATGTGATACCAAGTAATATTGGTGCTTGTGTTGTTGGATTGAAGCTTTTTGTACCAGATTTAGAATTTTATTTAATTTGTGGTGAGATTTACCTGTACATGATGTGTCAGTATGTATGTATGTATATGTATGGTCTATCTGTAAGATGTATTTCTGTTCACAATAAATGTGTTCTCTGTACCTCTTTTAGTTAGTTTTTCAGATCGGGGTTTCATGTAAGTTTATATCTTTAACTCTAAAACATTCTGGGATAATTGTATATAACATAAAGTATTCAGTCAAGCTGTAAACAAGTTAAAATAAAATTGGTTGCAGACAGGTTATAATTTATTGGATTGACAGTGATACTGATTATGATATTTGTTAGAAAAAAAAGTTTGTGGCAATTTAAGAAAGATATGGGTGTCAGATGCCAGTTTTTACCCATTCTAAAAAAATAATATAAATAGAAACACTGCTATAAAGAGGAATATAATATTATTATCATAAAATAGGATATGTAGTAAATTACTGCGGGCATGAAAAGTGCAATCCATAGTTTCCTAATGAGTGTAGAAAGACAACTATTGAAAAATCAAACTAAATCCTTAAATATAAGTGTATCACATATAATAAAATGACATTATAATAATTCTTAGCTACATCATGTAGTTGTATAACTCTCAAAGAGCACCTGATGTTGCATTTTTATTAGGATTAGGCACAGAGTTTACTAAGTTGTAAGGACACCCCCCCTCCCGATCTCCCTAGAATTTTTCCCCATCTTGAAGCTCTCGTACATAATCTACCAACTTTATAACCCCCTTTTTTTCATACATAAAAAATAAATAAATCCTCCAAAGGGAACAATTTGGTTCCCAGATCATACTCAAAAAACTAAACATTGAAAAAGTGACCCAGTGACTGGATTACAATGCTTCTATCTACAGACCTATGTAAAACTATATTATTAAGCTTAATTTATTATTAACAATTATTCTATTTATTAATTAAGAAGTGCATTTGTATATTGCCCACCTCATCTTTGCTGATCACATTGCTAAGTTAGTCACTATGATATGTTTACATGCAAGTAAAAGTACATATAGTTTTAACTGATCAAAGAAACATTAAATATTTCTTCTGGGACCTGTTTTAATAACAATACTTCATGAAAATTTAAAACTTATTCATCCTCTCTGTAGGGAATTCTTAAAATTTCTGCCAGGGCATTGTGCCCACAGAGGAATGTCTTTTTACTGCATAATTACCAGTTCACTGATATGTTTATATAAACTAGCAAACCAACTACATGTAATCTAAATATCTCACAAATTTCGTTTATCAACCAGTGATTATACTATAAATGAAACCTGGAAATTCCATAAAAAATTCCTACACGCCTTTATAAAGATTCCTTAAAAAGGGATTTTCAGCACAAAAAAAGCTGTGCATCAACACCAATGGCCAGTTCTATGCTTGTTTTGCCAGCTAGCAAATACTTGTAAATAAAATAAACAGTTCAAAAACATTACAACATCTAGGAGAGAAACTATGTGGCACATATACTGCAGGGAGTATTCAACTTGATATCAAGACTTTTACATATACAAACCGTATCATTTTCCTTGTACCATATATTCATAAAAAGCTGTACGACACAATAACTGATGTACAAAAAGAAAAAAAATCATAACAAAGGTAAAGTGCCACGCCATGATACAATATGAAGGCAAAATTACACTTAAAATGGATTAAATAAGATATAATCACGATTTGGTATATTTATCTGCAACAGAGTACAGTACAAGGTATAACATACAGATTGTCACACAATGTTAAAATTAACCAATCTTTGGAAGAAAAAAGCACACACTAATTCAAGTATAGTAATAACAGAAGGTAATAAAAAATTAAGAAAAAAAAAAAACGATAAGTCAACAAAAGTAGGAGATCTAGTCTTGTTCTTTCTACTGCAACAGAGAAGCTCATTTATCCACAATTCGTTCTTAGATGGACGGACATGTTATTCTAAATAAGGTTACAGTTACTGAAACCACATCATTCAAAAATGACTAGCACTTTGGAATGGACCAATGACACTGATTTATAACATTTAACTAACATCCTATAAAAGCCATATATATCTTTTCAGTTCTATACATTTTACAAGGGACCTTAGCCATGTTTTACATGGGACCTAAGCCACATTTCGGATTTATGTACATTGACACCAAAACAACATTTTCCAGTTACTAAAAAGCAGCAGAAAAGAAAATGTTTTTCAAACAGAGTATTTTTGCTAATGTTATTTCCTAACTTGAAACCATCCCTATGTGACTGGACTAAAGCATCAAGCAGTAGGTGAAAGGAAAGAAGTGAGTCCCAGAAGTGATCAGTAGCATCCCACCGCTGCCACCTAATGTAACAACTGAGTGACTGAGGAATGACAGAAGGTGATTAGAAGCCGTCGTTGTGAAGTTTTGCTATTTCAATGTTAAGCCAGGTGGAGCCCTGTGAAAAAATGAAAACAAAAACATTTAATTCAGATCAAATCTATCCCAAAAATGGTCTACCCTAAAAGCATTCACACCAAATCCAGCAGTTTTGTTGATAGAAGCTGATATGACTGAATGCCAGTGACTTTCAATGAGAGGCAATCAATAATTTTTAAAAAATAAAAGAAATTCTAAACAGTAATGGCAAATTAAAAGTGTTTATGTAATACATATAAAAAGAAGCAAGAATACTAAAAAATAACTTTTCATCTAGAAAAACTATGCAAGGAAACATACTACAACTATTTCAGCAAGAAAAAAATTCACAACAAAGAGAAATGGTAATGAAGTGACTGTGTACAGGGTTTTGTCACAGAAAAAATAACATTTTCTAGCCTTTTGAATGATATTATTTCCTACCAACTATCCAACTACAAAATTCGAATAAAATTCTAATTTTTATATTCCAACTAAATACACTTTCTTCAGATCACCCTTTTTTTGCATGGCTAAGGCCGAATGAACTGCTATGTGCACACCTTACATTTTTTCTTTAATATGCAATAACTGAATTGGAATAATAATTAAATCAAATTTTATTATAATATATATAATTACAGGTTATCTATCTGAAAATGGAAAATCAAACGATTCAACACAATGAAAACCCTGTACACTATCATTTCAAGTTACCAAGTAACAGAAAAGAAAGAAAAAGCAGACTTTTTTTTTTTAAATCTTAAGTGACAAATCACATCTTTTTCTTTCTCCACGTTATGGTTCTTTGGCTTTATCATGGTTATAATGAATATAAAAAGGAAAAGGAAAAGGAGCTGGTTTAAAAAGTAAAGTCTAAAATTAAGAATCATATCCTTTTCTTTCTCCTCTTATTATTTTTGGACTTTATTTTGACTGTGATAACAGTGGCAGTGTGGTGGTCACTCACAGAGGTACTAATGGAGTCTTCCTCCGTAGTATTACTGTACAATCTTGGGCGGCGGACAGGCTCGGGCAGTGTAGGGTAGGGCTCAAACTGACCACTGTCTATACCAGAAAAGTCAGAGTCCATCTCTCCCAGGTCAACTGCACTGACCACACCACTGTGCTCCAGACCTCTGTAAAATAAATGTCATATCTATTTATTTACATGTCTATTCATTTTGATTATTAATCACTGTACATTTTACAATAAGTAAGGTATATTATAGTCAGCATACTGAAGATAAGGAAAATACTAAAATTAGCTGAGCTGAAAACCTAGACCTGGATAAATATTCCTTTGTGTGTGTCTGTACTTCATTAATTTTTTTCCAAAAAATTAATATCACACTATAAACATATTCTTTAGTAAAGACAACTACAGTTAATTTTGTAATAACATGAAAATACCTTGCATTATGCTTTAAGTATTTTTAAAAATTCAAAGGACAATGATAAATCATTTCATAAACTGCCATTAAAGAAAACGATTACATGTCCATTGAACTTGTAATGTAAAATAACAGTTTTAAAATAATCGATCTATTAAATTGCCACACTAAAGAAAAGCAGAATAGTCTTAAATTAAAATTTCAAACACATATTCTTATCTACCTATCTCTTCTTTGGTCAGAGGAATTTTTTATGTTCACACTCCAGTGGTCATTGGTAACAGACACCTGCTGCTGCCCACTGCTACCATACTCCCTCTGATGAGAATTTGGTGGGGCCTGCCTATTAGGCAAATGCTCACTGCTACTGTATGCCTCCTGGCAAGCATTTAGTGGCCTCTGCCCAGTAGTTGAGCCCTCACTGGCCCCATAAGTCCTGTCATAAGGCTTGGGAGGAGGCAGGCCTGTAGCTTGTGTGAGGTACTTGTCTATCAGCTTATCAGCGTATCTTCTCTCCTCTGGGGACAACTTGTTGGGCTCCGTGGCCCTGGAAGATGACTTTCAATTAATACATCTTGAAAAATGTAATGAACATTTTGAGCACACCCATAATATCTTCATTAATTACAAAAATCGGTTGTCACATAAATTTATATACCAAAATAAACAATTGAGCTTACACAGTGATATGTATATGCACAGGCAAGCAGACATGCACACAGACACAGATACCTTTTTGATACTTGCTCAAATTCCATGCTGAGGTCACGAACTGCAAAACTTTGGTTCAGAGTGGACTCAGTAGCACCATCATTTGACCTGTTGACCTTTTCCTGACCCTCAACTGACCTCTTGCTGGTATCTCTGACCTGGTAATACTTATCAATACTGGTGTCAAAGCTGGCACCACTGGTGTGCCTGTCACCAAATCCACCAGATGGCGACAGGTGTCTATCCCCAGATCCTCTGAAGGGAGACAGATGTCTGTCACCAGCAGTTGGCGATGAGTTCAAATACTTCTTCTCAATGGCTTCAGCAGCCTGTCTCTGACTGTCATCCAAACTGTGCTGACTGCCATCAAGATGGCTGAAGCTGTAGGTGCTGTTCTGTGGTGCTGAAGTCTGACTGACTCTCCTGGGATTTCTGGTCTTGTTTTTGTCCCCCAGTCCATATTTCTTATCTACCTCCTCCAGAAAATGCTGACTGAATGAATACTGAGAAGAATCTAACTCTGATACGGTCATTGTGGTGTCAGGATTGGTAAGGGGGCTACCCTGGGGCCTTCCTGGCCCCTGGGGACTCGAAACCCTTGTATTAGTCAGAGACCTGCTCCTCCCTAGAGGGCGCTGATGACTGTCACTTCTGTGTCTCAGCGGCGGGGATCCCACACCTCTGGTTCTCATCCACCTTGGGGGTGACCTTGGTGACCTTCCCCTTTGTTCCAGTTCAGGGGCCTGATAATCACTTTGCCTTTTGCCATCTACATCTCCTGATTTATCTTCCCTTTTACTATTCACTTGATCCCGAAAACCAGGCCTATCTGGGTTCTTGCTACCTTTGGTGTATTTAGACCTTGGCAACTCTTTATATTCCTCCTCTGATGTAACAGCTTCTGGCTCCAGCTGTGAGAATTCTCTCACCTCCATCCTCTGCGCCACAGTCTCTCGTATCAATCCACCCCCTGGGCTGTGTCTGTTCTCCTGGCGACTGCTAGAAACAGTAGTCTTCGAAACGTAAATACCCCCTCTTTGAGCCTCACCATCCTTCCCATGGTGATATGGATTATGATACAAGTCTCTCATATTAGCCCCATGCTGTGTTGGGGATCTAGAGGGGACTGAGCCAGTTTCAGATGCTCTCTCGTAGCCAACCTGCCTACTTTGGTCCTTATTTTGAGGAAGAGAAGACCGCCCCCTGTCAGCACTTTCATGAGGCTTGGATGAAGAATAAAGTGGAGACCTCTGGTGGTCTACAGGTGCCCTGGAGTGTACTGGAGCAGCTCTTGTGTCCTGGTGCTCCTTGTGACCAGCATGACTGGCCCTGGTTTGGTAGTATAGCCTCTGTTCTATGTCAGACTGGAGGGCTGCTTGTCTGTGATCCTTAGCTCCTTTGGACCTTCCATCTTCAAACCTGTCTATAGTCCTTGCAGGCGCAGCGTACTCCCTTCTTTGTCCCATGTTTTCTTTGTGTCTGGTCTCTGAGGCTGTACTACATTCCTGTGCTTCCTTGTGCCTGTTTTCAAACTTCATCCCGTGTGCCGGGTTTTCTGTCCTGTGTCCTGCATATTCTGTCCTGCCTCCTGGGTGCTCTTTCCCATGTTCCATGTCCCTTGTTTGTCGATCATCAGATACAGCCCTGGAAGGACTGCTTGCCATCAGTGGCTCCCCCATGTGGATAGCTGTACCACCAGATACACGGCTAGAGCTGCTGGTATTGCTACTCTGTGGAGTACCTAACAATGGAGCACCTGACCTTGACTCATCATGACCGCTGTCAAGATTCAATCTGGGTACCACCGACTGTGACTGGGTGTTATTCCACTTCTCAGGTGTAACTGTGAGTGAACCCACTTTTTTCACAGGCGTGGAATAATTTGAACCTTCCCTTTTTTCAGGAGGCAGTTTCCGTAAACCTTCATGAGTGTCTGGAGTCAGTGGCGTCAAAGCTTCTAGAGGTTCCCTTTGGCCGACTGGAAGTGTCTCCACCCAAGCTGCTGTCTGTGCCAGGTGTTTTGGCGTGGATGTCACAGGCTCTCTCCGTGAGTGACGCGGGTGATCCTGGGGGTTCTCTCCAACAGGGTCCTTTCTCAACTTCTCATCTAATTTAATTGTAACTTTGACGTTTAAGTCGCCCAGATTTTTCACAACTTCACCTTTATTTCCCGGTGTCGTGTTGGCATTAGTAACGGCTGGGTGTCTGTCATGGGCAGTGTGCGGTTTGGCAAGAGCAAGGCGATTTGTTGAGCGTGGGTAAGTATAATGGTCTGAGGACCGCTGGTCAGTTGAGTGACTAGAAGGATGATCAAAACTCCTCTGAACCTGCTCCATGTCTCTTTTCATGTATTCAAAGTCATCTTTGAGCATATCTAGTTCTGTGAGGAGTTCCTGCTTCTCAGTGGCTGGTTCAAGTGCCAGCTCCATAGTGCCAGGGTTGTCTTGGCTAGTGGAGTCTTGTGGCCACCTGGTGGTGTCATGTGCAGTGCTGTTGTGGTGGCGGATCCAACTTAGTTCCTGCAATGAAATAGTTACACTCTTTTAACATTGAAATTTTGTCAAAAAAAAAAAATAAATAAATGTATAAATCAGGTAGCAAGAATAAAAGCAAATGTAAAAAAAAAAACCAGCTCTCCTTTTCCACTCACATGTCTCAGATTATTCCTCTCCTCTTCAACTAACGAAAGTTTTTCTCTCAAAAAAGCAGCTTCTTTTTCCAGCATCGCAGTGTTTGCCACAGGACTACTTAGCTGACTCCTAATGGTTGCCAGGGCTTCATTCAGCTGTCTGTTCAGTTTTTCATTGTCTTTCTGACTTGATGAAGCAGAATTCTCTAATGTCTTCACTTGTGCAACGAGAGCCTCCATTTTCATGTCATGAGTTTCTGCATTGCTTTTCAGCTCTTTGTTCTTTTCTTTCACAGATGTCAGCTCTGCTCGACACTCTTGGAGTAGGTTGTTTATCTCAGTAATTTTGGCCGACATTTCAGTGTTCGTCTTGGTCAGTTTAGACTGGAGAAGCTCATTCTCCAGTGTGGCACTGGCAAGACTTCTCTGTAACTCCTTCACATCACTGACATTACCAATGCTCCTCAAGGGACCATGAGGTCCTAGATCATCCATATCTAAGGGGTCACCAGAGGCACCATCCTGTGACAATTTGTCACTTGGACTGACAAAACCATCTGTTGCAGTTCTTTCTTCTGTCTGAGTCATGGCATGCTGTACTGGGGAAAGTGTCACAAATTCATTGCCAAGCTGGCCTTGACCTACTTGAAGGTCAGTCTGAGTAATGGCATGCTGGACTGGGAAAACTGTCACAGGTTCATTGCCAAGATGACCTTGACCCACATAAAGGCCAGTCTGTGTGGTGACATGCTGTGATGAGGCCACAAGTTCTGTTTGCTGACCAGTTGTAACTGATTGGACACTCATTTTATCCTGGTCAGTATTCACTCCCTTCTCACTGACCATCATAATTTTACCGACCAGCATTCCACCTCTGCCTTGACCTACTTGACCCTTAGTGGACATGGGTTTCATGAAGTCTTTTCCATTGGGAATGGCATCCACCTGTGGGTGCTGCTTCTCCTGTTTTTCAAGCATAGTGGATTTCTTCTGGAGATTGTGAACCTTTTGTTGTAGGTCTTCAATCATCTTCTGATACTGTTTGTTGGAACTGCTGGCAGAGGAGGCTTGTCTGTAGAGTTCTTTGTTCTCACTACGCAGCACCTCTATCTCTTGAGCCAGCCTGGCAGACATCTCTTCACTGTCCTTCCCCTGTGCCTTCTTCATCTCCATCAGGAGCTCTCCTTCCCTGTTTCTGGCCTTTTCCAGCTCAGACTTCAGGTTGCTGCTCTCCCTGCCAATATTCTCCAGTAGCTGTAACAGCTCATCACTGCCTGGAGAGCACATCAGAAAGGAGGTTGGAGTGTTGGACCTCTTGGGTGTGCTTCTGGGTAAGGATGGAGAGGAGAGACGGGTCTCTGACCTGGGGCGCCCCAGTGGTGGCCGGCCTACACTATCTGGTGATGATACTCCACGATTTACCATTTCGACAGAATGTGATTTTCTGAGGTGATTCGCCATCTTTCCTTGGACAGAGTCAGAGATGTCGTCTGACAGGTAGCCGTTTTGGATCTCATCTGATCCACTTAGATCTGGAGTGGAATTAAACTCCTTCCCCTTGGACAGTCTCTCCTTGTTTATATTCTCCCTATTTGAGTGTGCGTCTAGTGAACTGTGCCCGTGAGAGGTTGCTGCCCACTGATGTTGGAACATTCTCTCAGTGGTGGAGTTGAACAGAGAGTTGGGGGAGGTGGACATCCACTCTGATGTGCTGTTGGTCCTGGTTGTTCCTATGCGGGGGTTGTCTGGAGGAAGAACAACAACGTCCATCATGTCCCTGTCATCGTTAAACAGACTGGACCTTAATGTGGTGGACTCTAGGCTGCTGGACATGCTGGACATGGTATGGGGGGCACCTGTTAATAGAAGCCAAGAAAACCTGTCACATTAGGTGAGAAACTACAACAGCTTTTTAATGCCACTTAAAAAATAATAAGTCATAACCTTTTTTTATTCCAAATTTTGTAATCATTAAAAAATTCATAATTAAAATAAATGAAAAATATACTTAGTAGGAGATTAAAAAAATTAAAGATTAAAAATATTGTATATATTCTCTAGGCTTTATGTCTGCTGATCTTCATAACTATACCTTCCCCAATGCTCTGCCCCTGATCCTCCTCCTCCTCCTCCACATCAAGTTGCCCATTCATCACACATTGTGTTGCTGTCTGGGTCTCAGCCAGGCTTCCCTCACTCCCCGGGGCTGGCTGGCTGGGGTGACTGGCAGTGTGGTCTGTCTCATTGTAACCCGACTCATTAGACGAGACACTCACCGGAGGTGGTTCTGACGGCTGGATGAGGAGATAAAAGACTTTCAGCTGAGTTTATGTGTATTCTTTAAACTTAGCAAATTTTGATTGAGAAGCGAAAAAGGCATGTGTTTGCAGGTTGGTTTAAATTTTAACAATAGTAAAACAGGTTTTAAATAATGTTGAAACCTTTTTTCTCTATGTCATTACAATATATGCAATCATATATAATATCTGAAATCTGGACAAAGAAAAATCATACTTCCTGTGCATCTATACATCTTTTTCATTGTCTGAAGAAAAATACAACATATCTTATTTTAGATAAACATTTCTGATCTCAAAGCAGTTGTCATTTCCTCAGACCAAGAAAACAGTCAGCGTATAACACCCTGATTTTTGAGTCACTCCACACATCATCACCATCATCATCTACCACTTACTTCCAGTCCAAAAGCTCTAATGGAGTCCATCCTGAAGAGATCAAACTGGTATAACTGCTCCTGTAAGGCCTGCGTAGAGGAAAATGAGGAGAAAGAGAAATGTGCACTGTGAACAGAGTGAAATAGACACACTTACTGGTCTGAAATCTAATAAAACCTGTGCTCACTCACTCAGCATAATGAATTTCAACTAAATCCTAAACATATTTTCATTGGCCTTCGAAACATTCAAAGCGTTTTCTTGTTAACAGGAACTACGTAGATCAAAATTTGATTTGGTTTGTATCATTCCGGTAATTGATCAAAAAGTTTCATGCCTTAGTGAGCACAGGAAACTATACATACTGTGCTACTGTGTGAAAAAAAAGCTACAAGAAGACTAACTTTGAGTAAACAAATTATGGATTTAATCTGTAAAAATCAAAATTGTGAAAACTACAAAAACAGTGAAAGTGAAAATCCTTTAAAATACCTCTTGAAATGAGGCAGTGAAAGAAGATTCTGGGAAACACAACCAAGATTTTTAGCTAAAATAAGATAACTATCACCATTTGATTATTAGACTTCAGGGTTGGCTTAAGAGGTCTGTGCTATAAAACTAGAACTCATAACAAAATAAACGAACATTGCTACAAATTCATAAATAATCAAAATAATTGGGGTGTGAGATATTCAACTAAGTTTAATTAAAAGTCGCCATCTCTACCTCCCCCTCCCAAACCAACCATATAGTATCTACTCTACAACTTTCTACTAGAGCTGCCATCTATCTAAGTGTTACTGGTAAAACTACATACTAGTGCTACCACCTATCCAAGTGTCACTGTACCTGTATGGCAGCCTGTGATTGTGCCTGCTGCTCCATTAATAACTTAATAGGACTGTTATAGGCCACCTTGTGGGGGGTCAGGTGGGCAGACAGCCTGCCATCTACATCCTGAAATACAGGTGTGTGAATTAAGATTTCAGTTGCACCTTTGTACCTTGGTTCAATTCAAATCTCGGAATCTGCCTTAGAGAATACCAAAATGATATTATAATTGAGACAGTTGTTCTAGCGTTTCAGTAATAAACTTTTGCATGGGTAATATTTTTTTATCTGAAATAAAGAAGACCAAAAAAAATATTCATGATAAAAAGGTTAAATTAGCATTTCATTTTAATAAACTTCTGTATTATGGCTGGATTAAAATACTTAAATCTGATTTAAAAAAGACCAAAGAGCTATCCTAATAAAATGTTTCAGGAGCTTTGCCATGTTTCTAAGCAAAGAGTTTGAGAGATTTGCATGGGTTTTTATATTAACAGACAGTACATATCTAGAAATATGTAGAACACAGTGAGCCTGAGAACACTGCTGGAGATGTGTCTATATGTGTTTACACATGAACTGGTGCTATCATATACCTTTTCATCATAACTTACTTTGAATGTATTTTTCCTGGAGGTCACAAGAAAGCTGTCCACTGGTCTTCCCTCTGCCTGCAGCTGGACCTTAAAGGAAAGGAACACTATTATTAATATAATGAATTTTAATAAATAAAAAAAGAGGTGTTAAAGTAGTGCACACACAGCTCGACTCATTGCATATTTTGATTTTTCAGAAAAAGATCTTAAATATGCTGCTGTTCAATTAAAAAAACTGTATTTTTTTCTGCTTCTGTGAATAATTTTAACACAGCTTAATCAAACTGGATTTCAAGCTTTCTTTATGTCCTAGAATATCACACACATTGACTGGTTTACCAGGACCTCACTACAAACACTGCCAGGACTCCAGATATTCCAGCACATGCATGATTACCATAAACCTGACACAGCATCAAGTCTGCATCACAACTGAACGTGGTGTTACTTTCAATAAACGAGGTCATTCACCTTAATTATGCAGTCTGACTCTTAATGTTCACAACCTGGGGTATCTACTTTCCTTAATCCTCGTGTAGCAGAACTACTAAAACTTGCTTATAGCAATTTCCTGTCTAATATTCATACATGTACATAGTCATATTAAATTAATAATATTAATAATGATATTTTATTCAGCTTTTAATATTACATTTTAGAATTATTGGGCTTCTGTGTTGGCTTTCTATGTTACTTCAAATATTACCATAAGATTTATCACTTCTTTTATCATTATTCTACATGGTCATAGTAGTGGTAGTAGCTTTACTTTTCATAACTTAAATCGTATCTACAAGCAGAGCATAAACAACAGAAAAAATGTCTATCTTTGTCACACAGTATAGTTATCAAAAGGAACAAAGCATATACTTAACACAAGCCTAAATAACAGTTGTGAACACCATTTGCATAAATGCTATGCAGAATTAAACATGTTTCCCTCAGGTTCCATTATTAAGTTTAGAAACATTTTAATTGTTTTCAAAATATTAGATTCTGCTCAGTTATGTGTGAAAAATTTCTCCGTGAAATTATCTATACTGCAAAAATTACTTTTTATATTCAGGTGCATACCTTTCTTTTTAACAGAGCCACATATATGAGTAATGCATGTTCATCCACTGTGGAGTCCAACACATCTGCTGGGCTGAAAATATTTTTTAGAATGTCAGGTTAGAATAAACTCAGATTAATCATATCATATAACTGATATCAGGACAATTCCCCCATTATGCAGGTTTAAAACAAGTTTTCAGCACCTAAAGGAAGCTCTATTATGCAAACTTGCAAAATGCATTGATGTTAACCAACATGGAGTAGGAACATTTTAGTCCCTATGTTTGCAAAGGTTTGATATAGAAATTTTTAAAAGCATTAATACAGAATTTCACATATTTATATTGATTCATTACATTTTCCAATTATCTTAATCATTATTTTCTGTTCAATCAAAATATAGAAGCTTCAAACTACATAACAGCTGAATAAATAAAACCACTGAAATGCACCAAAAAATTATTCAAAAGGAGAGGTGAAGAGAAAATCTTTAAGATAAGACTTACCTGATAATATTCTTGCTGACTCCCAGTTGCTCCTCTGCAGCTAAAATAGCATTGGTCAAGTGTCCAGTATTGTCCAAACTGCCCTCTACAATACACACCTTCTCTAGTAGTTGGGTCAGGGTGTTTTCTTTACACAGGCTGGAACATAAAACAATATATAGGTTAATAAAAATTAAATATAATATAGAACATTTATAGTAAATTATATTATACAGTTTTTAACATATCAATATGAGTAGAATGAAATATGCAATGTGCAATAGGTCAGATTGCTGCCTGTCTACAGACTGGACTATACATTATAGACATGAAATTTATCCACGACGCAATATCCAAAACATTACCAGAAGAAAAAAAGTTCCTTAATGAGATATATTAACATATTTACATATACATCATATTATATCTTATCATACGACACAATGCAATACTTATTGTTACTATAGTAGATTCTGCTATATGAGAAATAAAAATGTTAAGTAAAAATGTGTCCCATATCTACCAGTCTGAAAATTAAGACATTCACCAAACACCAGCAAGTTAAACTTAATATGGTGTGACATGTAGAGAAACATTAAAATTGACCCTATTTATGCTTTGTGCTGTCTTTGCTTGTTGTGGCTGTCACACCTAATAAGTTATGCAAATTGACAATTATCTCAAAAAGCACTTTCTTTAACCTGCTGAGTTTGAATTCCGCCAGCTTTTAATGTTTGTTACCTAGGTTAAATGGTATGCCTTCCATTGAATAAACATGTTTTTATAGATTAATCTTTAAAAAAACACAGACCATTTTGGAGTAGTTTTACCCATGCACATATAACATCCATGATAACATTATTGATTTTTGTTGGAAAATTATTGTTAAGGTGTAATGTTTAGCATTCCAGGCAAGATTTATCTTATGAACATCTCAAGCCAATATAACGGGTATAATAACAATATATTAAAGGAATAAATCTATAACTGGGCCTTGTTTCACGACGAAACTAGAGCCTAATCTTAACTTTACAACTACAATTTAAAATCTACTTCAA